CATGAAGCGAACCGGAGTAACTTGCGTCAATTTAAGCGAAATAGTGCCATCTAGTGGGGAAAACAATGTTTTCTCTAAGTGGGTGGTTGTTCTGTGTTTTTCTCATCGGGAATTCCTGGAACCGTAGGTATATTGTCGCTCTCCGGTCATTTTTACTATTATTTTAAATTATTGTTTCGTTCAATTTACATAATTTAATTGAATTATGAAAAGTTTAACTTGATGACTCAGTTGTAAAGTTAAAGAAGCAATTGATGTCATTAGCTTTGCTGCAGCGTAGTATTTAAACAAAAACGAGTCAGGCGGTTTCTTTAACTCCATTGCTGTTCTCTCAGCCTGCGTTTTAAAGTCCAACTGCATGTTAAACCAAAAATCTGTGTGTTCCTCTAGAAATCATTTAAACGATACACCGTATTTCTGCCATTTATCTTAAAGAGGTTCTACACAAAGTTTATCTGTGGTTTAAACAGAGCTGATTGTTTGATGAACAGACCTTTACCGCGCCTTGGTATTACTGCAGAAATCTACAACAGATTTCCCTGATTGACAACAGACATATTTTTCTTAAGGGGAAATTTTATTTCTCAACTTCATTTCTATTGTACCCCATTCCAAAAACAAATATCAAAGGCCTCACCTATGGTGACACAATGAAAAAACACACAGACGAAATATAATACAATGTTGCTTTGTTTCAAGAAGATTTTAGTAATCTGATATTAAAACCTACCCTCAGCTAAACTACGTTTTTGGCAATGTAATCAGGTTTAGCATAAATGTGTTCAATGGTAAAATACATTTCTTAGCGGACCTCGTGTTAGACTGGGGTAAAGCACTGTTAAGCAAATGATAGAGCAATTGCCACAAAGTTCATAATTATTGTACAATGTAAGATTTTATGATCCTCACTAAGACTAATATCCTAGGCTAAAAAGATATCATGTTTTCCATGTGTTCTCAGGAATATGACACCTCACGCCTTTTCTTCTCATATTTTGGGAGCTTGTTGAACCTGAAAAATACAATGTATATTAAGTATATATTCTGCACTTGAACTATTATCTCCAACTACAGACTGTCTCCGACTTACAACAAACCGCACATATGTTCAAATAAATAAATAAATACATACATTTATCTAGAAATTAGCTTCAGGCACCCATATATCTGCCAACACTATGCCACATAGTGCACGTTGCGTGCCATGCCCATACGATCGTTGCCGCGAGAAGGTACAGCACGACCATCTCCCAGCCTCATTCTCAAACCTAATAGTCAGTGTGTTTGTCTTATTACGACACGTAGGACCTGTCTGTCGGAACGGAGCCCAGTAGTTCGTCGGGGACAGTCTGTAATTAAAACATTCTATTTATAGAATGTTTGTTCAATTTGTTAAAATGATTAAGATAACAGCTAAATAATATGTTAGCATTCATTTTGAGAAGGATAGAATTACCCCACTGACCGGGGCTAGATAAACCCCGTGAGACAGTGCTTATATATCTGGGATATAAAAATAATGTCACTATGGATTACATATGAAAAGGAAACAGCTGAATATGTGTCAGAAAATGACCAGAAACCCTTCCTTGCAAAAAGATCCACTGGTACTTTTTCCCCAAATGTCTTCAACTCCACACTTTTCTTGTCCTGCTCAGCTACAGAAATGCCTTTAATGACCCTCTTCCGTTGCTTCTTCATATCACAAACATAATATTTTTAGAATTTGTTTCCAAGAAGGTCAGAATAGTTTATCTGCCTGGTACAGAGAAGAAAACAGGCCAGAGGCTAGAATTACCCCATCTTACCCTACATAGTTCCATCTTTGGGTGAAAGGCAAAAAGGTATTTTCAAGCGCCACGAAAATTGTAGTACAACTTTAAAAATTGTCATTTTTCTGTACATTACAATGTGTCCTGTTTAAATGTAATATTTTCTGAGCAAAAAATAATGGTTTAATGTAAACAATGTTTTTACCTAAATTTACAGAAGTCACCCACTAAAATGTCATTCAACATAACAGTTTATATACAAAAAATCTTTTGAGGCATATTAAGAACAACAATAAGTAGATGATATATTACAATGCTGTATTTAAGTATCACAACGCAGCCCCTAAAACTAATTAATTGTAAGTCTTTATACTTTTCCAATGTCCTTTCTACCACTGGGTTTTACCCATTTGTCAGCAAGAAGATTTTCTAAGGATGGGAAATTCATTTAAAATACAATTAAATTTAGTTTGATCACATCTTCTTTTATATATATCGTAACAAGTACAGGTGAGTATAAGTGTATTTTTATATTTTTATATAAATATATCTGTTACACCAAATGACCATGGTTTGTTACTCTGGATGATATTTTGTCAAAAAGGGATAAAGTGTGTAAGTATTGCTATTTTTCCCATTATTGCAATGTTTTTAGTATTAGTCGGGGTCATTTAATTAGTTTGAATAACATTCCTGAGTAAATGATAGCAGAAACAGATGTTAAAAATGAATAAGCATTTTATTCTATAAGGAATGTCTTCTGAAAAGAAGAATGTGATAAATTCCTGATTACTGAGTGATCAGAATTTGCCCCCAAGGCAGCTACTTTCTTCTCTAGTAGATGAAATGCAAGATTTGATGCAATTATTATTAACATGAACATAACATTATTGACATGGATTTAAACTCTATCCATCCAACCTGACTCATCTATATAGTGATACTGTCATGCAGTGTAATTGATGACATTGTGCTGTAACAGAGAAGTTGCATTACTCCGAATGACAAAAACAATAAACTGAATGATGAAGCTTCTACTTCAACAAATATTTGGGACAAAGGTCCCCTGGTTATTTAAATATTTATGACAAGACATTGTCCTTTTAATATAACACAGTCAACATTGATTTAAACATGCCAAGTAAGCTAATACATACTTTTACTTGGTATTTCACATGTTTATTTCAAGATGTGATAGTAAAATCAAAGTATGGGCCATTACACTGAATGATGATTTATCCAGGAACAATATTTCACCTGTATTTTGAAATTTTATTTTCTCAAAAGTTATTTTAAACATTTAAATAGATACTGTAGTTACATATATATATTATATATATATATATATATAATTTTCATGCGGACACAAAATGGGTACGTCTCGTCTTGGATCCCTATAACAGGTGCTTCTCAACTTACGACGGGGTTAAGTGTCAATGAACCCATCGTAAGTGGGAATATAATATATAATAAAACTGCTGTCAAATAAATGTAACTAAATACCAGTAATAGTAGTAACTAAATGAATACAAGTGTATTTGGTTAAACACAAAAAAAACTCGAACAATACGTTAATTGCTAAACACTGTATGATATGTTTAAGCTTGCGATCGTTTCAGTAGAAAGTATCATACAGAATACAGTTAAGGTCAGAATTATTAGCCCCCCTAATTAAATCACATAAAACCCTTAATATTTCCATGGAGTTGACCATAACAAAAACAGTTAATACTTGTATTGCTTTGAACTTTACATAAGGAACTCTGGTTAACAGGGCCAGTGGCACTAGAACACTTGGACTACTCTGACACTTTTGGCAAGAAGCAATTTCATCATGCCAATAAAAAAAGAAATGAATCAAAGAAATTATTCTGGACCTCAGAAAGAGGATAGTAGATGGTCATCGTGAGGGTGAAGGCTACACTGCAATTTCCAAACGTTTCACAGTGTCTAGAACAGCTGTACGATGCAGCATCGCAAAGCATGAGGAGACCAAAATTGTTGCAAACAAATCTGGGACTGGCTGAAAGCGCGAGATTTCAAAAACTTTGGAGAGAAAAATAATTAGAGATGTCAACAAGGATCCCCGGGTCTCTGCCAAGGTGATTGTTGCTGAGTTGGCCTCTTCTGGAGTTGATGAGTCAAGGAAGACAGAGCTCTTCATCGTGGAGGACTTCAAGGTCACCGTCCAAGAAAAACTCCATTTCTGAAACAATGGCACATCAGTGCCCGACTGTAGTTTGCCCGTGAACATTTGAAATATGGTAATGAGTTGTGGAAGTCTGTTCTTTGGTCTGATGAGAGTAAACTTGAGCTGTTTGGGTACAGGGATGTTGCTTTTGTTTGGAGAAGGAAGGGAGAAGCCTTCAACCCTAAAAACACAGTTCCCACTGTTAAACATGGTGGTGGGAGCATCATGTTGTGGGGCTGTTGTGCTGCTTCAGGCACTGGGGACCTCGTTCGTGTTCATGGGGTCATGAAAAAAGAGCAGTATGTTGACATTTTGAAGAATAATTTAAAGAAATCTGCTGCAAGTCTCGCTTTAGGTAGTTGCTGGGTCTTTCAGCAAGATAATGACCTGAAGCATACCTCCAAGTTGGTCACAAACTTTTTGAAGGACATAAAAATCAGGGTGCTGGAGTGGCCCTCACAGAGCCCAGATGTCAATCCCATTGAGAATCTGTGGTGGGTGCTCAAGGTGAATGTCCATGCTTGAAAACCACACAATCTGGATGAGCTGGAACGATTTACCATGGAAGAGTGGGCTCATATACCTCAAGAGACATGTGCCAACCTAGTTAAGAACTACAGGGAGAGGTTGTCAGTTGTAAGACAGAGAGGCCACACTATTGAACGTTAAATGTCGGTGGGGCTAATAACTGGAAAGGCCAAAATTTTCTTGTTAAAATTCAGGACATCAGTAAAATCTTAAACTTTGTGTAGATTTTGTCTTTGTTCTTTTGGAAGCAATACAAGTATTAACAGTTTTTGTTATGGTAATTTCCATGGAAATATTAAGGGTTTTGTGTGATTTCATTAGGGGGGCTAAAAATCCTGACCTTAACTGTATTGTTTGCCCGGGGATAAATCAAAAGTCAGAGTTGACTAGGGAATGTGCGTAGTTCTCGCCCCAGCGTAGTCTTCACATTGTAAGTCGAACTACAGTAACGCGAAAGCAGGGCCGACCGCCTACCTATTGCGGACACCCCACAGCGCGCGCGGCTGTTGTGATGTTAAATTCGTCACAGCGGCCGAGCGCGGTGGCATTTTTATGGTCGCGCGCACGGGCGCATCCACTGTAAAATCAAAACAACGCGGACGGTCCGCTCTGTGACGCAAGCGCGACTCAATCGCTCATTGGCCAGGAGAAAGTCAGAAAGGACATCGGACCAAAGATTGTATACAAACACCGCTCCTGTCCTCCGATCAGATTGGAAACAAACATGATGAGCGGATCAGATGAAAGGTTAGCCGAAGAAGTCCGAAAATACCGGAATTTATATGATTACTCGCATCGGGATTATAAAGATTCCAAGATGGCTGCACACTCGTGGCAAGAAATAGGTAGGACTCTGTGCTTGGAAGAGCAATTCTGCCGAAGCAAGTGGAAAAACCTACGGGATAGATATGTTAAAGCAAAAAGGAAAGTAAAACCAAGGAGTGGAGATCCCGGTAGAGAAAACGAGAAACCTATTTTTCAATGTCTTTCATGGCTATCTGAGTTTGTTAAACATCGGGAAGGAGAGCCGAAGTTTTCGCATTCACTGGTAAGCTGATCACTCAGGATAAATTATGTCGGATATTTATGTTACTTTAACCGACACAACTATCTTGCTGACTGACATTATTCATATAGATTTTAAAAGCCAAAGGCTTTACTGTTGTTGGCACAAACCTGAGGGATTTATTTGAAGCGAGTTTACTGTCGTGCCTGCATGCCCGTCCGCGACCGCATGAAGTGTGGTTTGAGTGTTATATTTAAAATAAATATTTTACTAAAACTTACCGTGCACTGTGTACTTTACAGTAAGTAAGGACATAGACGGGTACAAGGCGTTGCAGTTAGAAACGTGTGTTTTCTTTTAGTTTGCAGCCATCATATAGTGGTACCTCAGCACCTATGGCAAGCCCGTGGCGTTATATCACATTCAGTTGTAACTAGTTATAATTCATATTCTTGATATCGGAAATTCTATTTCAGTTTAGATTCAAAACGTTTTTCTCGTTCATTTCAAAGGGAGTTGGAATTTGAACAAGTTAAAATGTCAATTTCTGATATCAGGAATTCGGTTGCATCGAGTTATAATTAAAATTTGAATTACAGCTAGTTGCAGTTAAATTCCTGGTATGATAAATTGCCATTTTATCTATTTTTAAGATTCAATTTTTGATGTCAACAATTAACTTATCAGCTAGCTAAAATCGAATTACTGATATCAAAAATTGGAACCAATTAATGCACATGCGCTATTTGGAAAAAAGTATTGGGACACACGTCTCAATCACTGAATTCAGGTGTTCCATTGCAACAGGTGTATAAAATCCAAGCACTTAGCCATGCAGTCACTCAGGTTTACAAACGATTATGAAAGAATGTCATTCTGAAGAGCTCAGTGAATTCAAGCATGGTGCGGTCATAGAATGCCACCTTTGCAATAAGTCAGTATGTCGTCCCTGCTCATCATCCAGATAGGTGCTACACACTGGTGGTGGGTAAAGTGGGCCCCCGTTTGGTTCTGTAAAGTATTTTGGGTGTCTTGAAAAGTGTTATATAAATGTAACAGTCATTCAATCATTTCATTCATTCATTTAAGTCAGGGCATGACTGTAGGCGGGGAGGTGGCTGGAGTGGAGGGAGGTCTCCGCCCTTGACCCAGAGACCAAGGCTCTCTACGTGCAGTGGGGGGCCCTTGAGGTGCATGAGGGGTTGCTGTACCAGCGCTGGCGCTTCCCAGATGGAGAGAGGCAGCTACTTGTGCTCAAGAGCCTCCGTCCCACAGTCTTGAGGGTGCTGCACGATGTGACGGGAGCCGGGCCCTTCAGAACGGCAGGAATGTTGAGGAAGCTGCACTGTCACTTTTACTGGCCTGGCTGCAGCCAGGACACGGAACTGTTCGTGCACTTCCGCGACGTGTACACCGCCCAGAAGGGCCCAAGCCGCCTGTCTTGTGCATCTATGCAGCAGGATCAGTTGGGGGCACCGTTTGAGGGGGTCGCTGTGAACTTCCTGGGCTCCTTTTTCCGCATCAGCGCTGGGAACTGCTCCATGCCTGTGCCTATGGACTACTTCACCAAGGGGCCCAAGGCGTACGTGGTCCCTGACTAAAGTGCAGCAGCCACAGCTGAAAAGCTCAGTTTCTGCTGGTTCGGTGTGCTGGAGGAGCTGCGCGGTGACCAGGGGTATGATTTCAAGGCACAGGTGTTTGTCAAGGTCTGCAAGTGGCTGGGAATATCGAAGATCCGCAACACCCCCCTTCACCCTAAAAGTCATTGATGGTCTGGTGGAGCAGTTTAACTGCACGTTCACCGTGCAGCTTGCTATCCTTGTCGTCGACCGCCATTGTGACTGAGACCGCCTTTGTGACTGAGACCGCCTTTGTGACTGGGACCGCCATTGTGACTGGGACCGCCACATGCCCCTGGTCCTATGGGCTTACTGATTAAAACCTTTTTTTTTTTGGTTACCGGCATGCCTTGTTCCACCCTGTGAGAATGTGCAATATGTATATGTAATATGTGTGTTCATGTATTAACATTGTAAATAATGTTGTCATTTTTAATATTTTACAGTAGAATGCTTATTTCCATTAATGTCTACCCCGAGTTTGAGAGTTATGTTAATTGTCGACTTGCCTATCTGTGCTGCTGCTGGTTATCACTGGCAGTGGGCTTTTAATAAAGTCTGAGCTTCTGTTTTTAAAGAGTTGTCATCTTATTTAAAATGACTCGGGCATGTTAAAATATAAATGCCAGTGTTTTCGAACTTCCTCAGCCAACCTTTCTTTGACTGTGTTTGGCATGTTTGTTCTCTGTGTAATCAGAGCACAAAAGGTTTTTGGATACAATCTTTGGTCCAGTGCCCTTTCTGATTTCCTGCTACTCTCAGGACAGACCATCCACTTTGTCCCCATGCCCATGTGTGTGGCCCTCACACCGAACTATTGAATAAATTAACAATTTACAAAGTTAGAAGAGACATTTAAAACATTTTACAAAGTGAATTGTGGAATAAGACTTACACAATGACAAGCAGCTTGACACAAGCAGATAGGAGGGAATCAGACAAACATTCGATCTTTCAGATAACAAACTTATTCCAGAATTAGAGTTTTTATGTATTTATAATAACTAAATATGTTTAACACAGAAATATTTGCTTTTTAAATGGTAAAATTATAGAATGTACAGTGGTACCTCAGAACTCGAATTTAATCCATTCAGAACTCCGGATTGAATCCTAAAAAGTTCGAGTTGTGATTGAATTTTCCCCATAAGAAATAATGGAAAACCAATTAATTGGTTCCCGGCCGCAAAAAATTACACCTAATATGTTTTTTTTTTTTTAGCATTTAAACACAAAATGAACCGGATAAAACAAGTAGAGCATATACTGTACTAAACACATCTAAGCACATTTATCAAAACAGTAATTTGTAAAGCAAGAAAATAAATGTATCCAAACAATGTGTAAAGTTAAGAAAAAACCCAATGTGTCCTGCTCCGATTATCCACTCCTTCCGTGTGCCACGCCCCCTCATTAACCTCGTGTGGAATCCCCGTGTGATCAGCTGTTTCTGGTTGTCATTAGTCCTCTGTATTTACTCCGCGTTTCAGTTTGTTTCCCCAGTCCGGTCATTGTATTGTCCATCTGCGTTTTGCCTGCCTTACCTGTAATTAAACCCCGTATTCCCCGATACCCTGACGTCTGCGCCTTTGTCTCTGTTCTGTCCCCACTCAGCACGACAATATGATAATTAAATGTATGAATGGTTTATTATTAATATTAAAATAATAAGAAATCTTTATTTTTTAATGTATTTTATTAATAATTACTGTTACTATCATTGACTAAATGTATTTTTACTGTCAAATATATGTATTCAGCTGGTGTAAACGTGCACGATGCTATCACAGCTAATACGAGGCTGATACTGAAGCGTTACCCTTCGTTTCCGCTGAGATACATGCCGCGTGACTCATTTCCCCGCACGTACAAGTTATCTTAGGTCGGCATGCACAGTTTGACTTCTGAGATTCAGATCGAGTTCTAGGTAATTTTTTTTCGAACTGGTTGGTTCGACTTTTAAGAAATTCGAGTTCTAATGAGTTTGAGAACTGAGGTAGCACTGTATATGGAAAGGATTAAGAGCAGATTGATAATATAGGATTTATCAGAACTGAAAATTGGTTTGGTAGTATTTGAAACTCCAAATAGAATGTCTTCTACTTCCAGCTTAAAATTTCAATGGTTCTGTATAAGTTTAATGGCAATACAAAATAAGAGGCTGTTTTATATTCCCAGCATAACTGAATCACTGTTACATCTGAAGGTACAGAGGGTACTTGCGCCTTTCTTGAATCTGGCCACCTTGCAATTAACTGGGTAACAGTAGTGAAGAATCTTTAGTTATTTCTCTTATTTTTATTTGTACTGAGAAACTTGCAAATGGGGTCTTCTTGCCCGACCTTTGCAGCATGAATTATGTCACAACAGCCATGCATACTGTTACGGTCCAGTCTAGGGTTGGAGCGCAACAAAGTGAAAGGGAAGGAGGGATTGGGGATATCTGCAGTAGGTATGATTATGAAGAGTGGTATGGATGTTATATTAAAAAAAAGAGTTAAACTAATTGAGCATTAGGTATGTACAAGGTACAGTTATCATTAACATTTACAAACAAAAATTTTCATTAACAAAAAACCATAAATATTGCTTCCCAAACTAACTGAAATAAAATAAAAGCAAATGTGAAATACTTTTCCTTACTGTTTTTCAGTACTGTTCAGTTAAAGTGATGAATTGTTTGTCTTGGGGCCTCTTTCATGCAATCCACTTGAACAATATAAATAGCCAATGGCACTACATAGACATTTTGTAGTAGCTACCAAAGTCCTGCCACTTTCCATCTCGCCCTAGAAATAAAAGTACTAAAACTTAAATTGAAACTAAATAACACCAAATAATCAAAATTTTACCTACACTGACGTAAGGACATAGACAGGTATATGACAATGCATTTAGAATCACATTTTTATTTGAATTTACCGGCCTTTGGAAGACTTTATAATCCCGTAACTAGGAATCGTATAAATGCCGATATCCCTGGACCTCCTTAGCTGACATTTCTGCAAATCCACTAGCCATGTTAGTTTTCAGTCTGATCAGTGACGATAGGAAAGGTTTTATCACTGTATTCCGCTGGCCAATGAACAATCGAGGCACGTTTGCATCACTGAATGGCCCGTCCATGTTGTTTGAGTTCCTGATTGCTGCACGGACCCCTATGTGTTGTCCACGGCTGGCCCCCGCATCCAAAATTACATTAGTGCAGCCCTAGTGTGCAGTGGCATGTCCATGTCTGCAAGAAGTGTGAACCAGCCGTGAGAAATTCCATGTCAGCTTAGGTACCATTTTACACTGCAGTCAGGGTTATCTTACTCAGCTCTATCAAGTTAACTCTGAGTATGTAAAACTTGTGTCATAGTATCCCACACAGTTTGCATGTGGATTGGCGGTTGAAGTTATGACTGTGTGCATGTTTATGTGTCTATGGATAAGGAGGTGATAATGGAGCAAGTTGAGTGAAGCTGTGATGTGGTTGTCTTAATAATAATAATAATAGAAACTTCTATTGATCCCCATGGGGAAAATGTCTTTTTTTTTTTTTTTTTTTACACCTTGCTCAGCTTGTTCTTTGTAGAGTAAACTGTCTGTGAAGGGCAACCACCTGTTGGGGTGCCCAGGGAGCTGGGGGTTAAGGGCCGTGCTTAAAGACCCACAGACATGCTGAGGCTGCGTTTAAACTAGCGACCTTCTGATTACAGGCACACAGGCTTAGCCCACTGAGCCACACTCTGCGCTGCTGTTTTTTTACTAATCTGTACTTATTTCTCTCTTGAAGGAATCTCAAGAAGAGCATGATGGCCTGATGGTTTCAGTTTCCGCACACCATTTGAGCAAAAGCCCTGTCATGTGTAGTGAAGAGCAACCCATGTCATCTACCCACGTCACATCGCCATTGCCAAGCCAGCCCATGTTGTCAGATAAGGTGAAGCAGGTATTTCTAACTGCTAGTGGACAGCAATCTGAAACCACCTCCATTTCAAGTACATCTGCCTTCATTCCTGTACCATCTTTCACAAACATTACACCTCAAGAGACGGGTTCCCCCCTGCATGACATTGGACAGGCCGGACAACAGAAGCGGAAACTCGATGCACCAGATGACCCGATGGTTAAACGCCTTGAAGAACTTGCAGGCGAAAAAGGAACTCTTAACACACAGCCAGATGAGGACAGTCATTTCTTCTTTGCTATAGCGGATTTAGCAAAAAGATTACCACCACACCAGAGAAATCTGGCCAAACTCAAGGTTCACCAGATGATTTTTGAAATGGTGGAGGAGTATGAGGACAGCCGCTTCTTTTTTGCCATGGCAGATTTAGCAAAAAAATTACCACCACGCCGCAGAAATTTAGCAAAACTCAAGATGCATCAGATGCTTTTTGAAATGGTGGAGGAGTATGAGGACGGACAAGAGAGGGTGGCCACACCCAAGCCAGAAACCTGATGCCGTGTTCTCCGATTTGTTCATTTTAAGAATTTTTATTGTTGTGTATTTGTAAAATACGTGAACAGTCTTGCTTGTGCAGAATAAAACAGAAGTCTCAATCAATCAGTCAATCAATCAATCAATCAATTTACTGATGACAGACAAAGACACAGGGTACATGTCACTTGCACATTCCCCCGTAAAGCATGAGTCAAATGGTATGGTCAAATAACCACAAACACAGCTGACAGCAGTTGCAGGGCATGTGACTTGCAGACATTGCGTGTAAAGTATATTCACACAAACACTCTTACATGTCATCTGATTAACGTTGGTAATATTGTGCGCACGCTTATATGAACACATGGTATATTCTCAGTGTATCAAAATGAAGTTAGGGGGAAAAAATGAAACGTGTAACTAACACCATATACCTGTCTTATTGTACTGTAAATACATAATGCAGAGTAACATACAGTAGACTGCTCATTTTTAATATAACATGCATACCACAATTAAATGTGACTTGCAAACCATGATAGAATGGGAAGTCATGCCAACTGCCTTGCTGTCTTCATGCAAATGGTTCATTTTATCATCCAACAGAGAATGAAACAGAGAGTGGCAAGTGGAAATTGTTCCTGTTACATATACATAAAGATTGAATATTGACTAGAATTTGAATTGATTGTTGTTCACTATGTGGATTAATAAAAGACTGATGTTACTTATCATTGTTTTTTTTTATTCATGGCAGTGATTCTGGGCATAAACTTTCAGAAAACCATAGGTTTCAATAATAGACACCAATAGGCACTAATATATTTAGCCCCTTGAAATTACATTGTCCTACCACAGCACAAGGCCAGTGGCTGACAGAAAAAAAGGTTTCTGAGGACATGGACTGACTGCATGTGGTGGCTTGATCCTCAAAAGCTGTCCTGCATCATGCAGGGTGTTGCCACCACTTCCCAGGCTGAACTTCTGCAAAGTTCTGCATAAACCATGCTACCATGGTAGCCGCTGAATTCAGCACGTATAGGGAAGTTGTCAAGGGCGATACAGGCTTCCATCATGCTGTCACGTCTGGCGAGCATTCAGTGGGGTGTCCCAGGCAAAATAAACAGTAGGTATGAACCAGCCGTTAGCCTGACGATTTCACACAACATCCAAGACAAATTGAGAATGACTTGCTCAGCTTTGTCCAGCCCTGGTCAGAAGGAGGAATACATCATAGTCAATCAAAAGAATTATGCTCAATCCAGTAAGTGTGTTTCAGTCATACTCCCTGCTTATTGCAAGATTTGTAAAAAAAAAACAAAAAACATTTTGTTATATTTTACAAGTAGACTATCAAAAAGCACAGAGTCTGATAAGATAATTGCAAACTGACATACCAGCTTTTGTTTTTGGATTTCTTTGAAAATTATGCTTGAAATGGATTCAGTGCAACCCTCCGTACATTAAAGAGGCTATGCATTAGCATAATGGTTACGGAAGTGGAATTAATCAGTTACCAAAAAGCTGCAGATTTAAAGTCACGGATCCTGCAGTTGTGCAGTTTAACTTGCTATTCTTACAACCCCACTGGTGGTCTCCTTCCTCACTCAAACAAAAATTTCTTCATCTCTTCACTTCTTTGAAATTTCCTTCATCCCAGAAAGAGGAATTTCTTCAAACTTTTGGTCATTCTAAAACTGCAATGCCCTCGAATGCATGAAAATAATAACAACCCAAAACTGAGGAAATAACGATTTCAACAGTTTGAAAGATTGGTAGATGGAATTATCCATGAGTGGTCATTGACCGTGGAGGCAGGTAATCTGAGAAGGAGAATTTAGACTGGATGTGACAGATAACAAACACAAAGACCAGCAGAAAAATTCAGAACAGACAAAGATTTAAGTGGAAAACAAGAGCACTCATTGTGACTTCATTCCACCACCTCAGAAATATTGCAAAACTCCGTCCTACTCTCACCTTGCCAGATGCTGAAAAACTGGTTCACGCCTTTATCTCCACCAGAATCGACTACTGCAATGCACTTCTCATTGGAATGCCCAACAAACATCTTCAAAAACTCCAATACATACAGAACAGTGCAGCAAGGATTCTGATGAGAGTTCGAAAATATGAACACATTACACCCATTCTTCAATCACTGCACTGGCTTCCCGTTTCTGCAAGGATTGAATACAAGGTTTCCCTTATAACTCACCAATGCATCCATGGAAATGCCCCCCTTTACTTAAAAGAACTACTTACCCCCCTAACCTTAACACGGTCTCGACGATCTACAAATGCAAATCGTCTCCTACTTCCCAGGACCAAACTCAGCACCATGGGTGATCGGGCCTTCTGTTCTGCCGCCCCGCGTCTATGGAACACCCTCCCAGACCATTTGAGGGCCCCACAGAATATTGAAAATTTTAAAAAAGGACTTAAGACATTTCTTTTTAATAGAACTTATGGATTTTAATTAATTTTATAGGTTTCTTAATTATTGTTTGACTTGCTTGTTTTAATTGTTGTTTTAATATGTGGTTTTTTTTCCACTTTTTTAGGATGACTCATTTTGTGGCACTTTGAGATTTATTTTAAATGTAAAGTGCGTTATAAATTAAATCTATTATTATTATTAAATAGACAAAATTTCACAGAGTGTTGTTTTCACCTAAACTTAAGTAAGACTATTAAGTGAGACTGTCAATGCTTTGCTTCATGTGTAATTAAAAAGTATTTTGCATTATTTTGCCACAGCTCAACTGTCTTTTATCATAAGAACATAAGAACATAAGAAATTTACAAACGAGAGGAGGCCATTCGGCCCATCAAATCTCAATTCTCTTATGCGTAGCGCTGTAAAACAGTGCTGAGACAATGACTTGTCAGGCCTCAATTACAGAAACAAAGAGGCATTAATCGGGCTCCTTCATAATGAATAACTGGTAAAGAAGATGCAAAAAATTAAGACAACCCCCCCGGAACACTTTAACTTACCATGGCTGCATCCCATGAACACTGAACACTTCATCAAGTGTCCCCAGATTTACATTGTGGCCATCATAACTATGTAACTATAATAGGTTGTATGGGGGGTACACATTCACCCTTGAGTACACCATCTTAGACATAAACAAATGTAACAATTTGGTAACAATACACACCAGTGGGGAGGGACGTTACCCTGCTGAACAGCATAGACCAGCATAATGCCAATTGGTTATACCAGCATATATTGTGTTTTGAAGCTGGTGGACCAGCATTATTAATGCAATATTGTTGATGAACCAGCTTCACGTGCAGGTAGGTACACTACGCTTTGCATTGTTAAAAACTGCAATGCAATATGCAATGTACTGAGAGTTAGTGGGACAAAGATACTTACGCAGCCAGGAACCTTGCTTTCTCAAGTGTGTCCATTTTTAGCTCAGAATGCAATCCTTCGCATAAAGTGAAGAAATATTTTTGGGAAAAATATCTTTCTATTTCAAATGATTTCGAAGAAGAAGAGAAAGAATGTCACGCTTGTATCCGTAACGGACTACAAACCCCGCCGGTGCCGCGCTCCAGATGGGCTCGCCGTTGTCCGCTCGCGGGATTTCTCGCGGTATCACCGCGTGGCTGTCTAGCGGCGCTGGATGCTGGTGTCACCGGCGAGAGGAGAGCGGATGAGGGAGACCGGGACTTGGCGTGCGGACGGAGCCTTAAAACAGTGGCGTTCATCCTACGATACTGACGAGGGATTCCAGATATACTGCAAAATCAGCGTGTGTCACTTTTATGTATAATACTATATTTCTCACGGACCTATATTAATTATAATAAACCAGCGATGGCGTTGAAAAGAATTCAAAAGGTTAGTCTTTTTCTTGTTTATTTTTTCATTATTAATTTTGCCCACTTGCTTTGCGGACTAGATAGGTTTTTTATTCATTTTCCGCAATCGGCTGCACTGGATTGGATAAGATAAACATTTTTCTCTAGAAAGGTCAGAAAGAAGAAGGAGGAAAGACACAAAGAGCAGCGGTCAGTGAGCGGTGTGGTGGCACTGGCGCATCAGAGCGACACGGGTTTGATAGCGAGCGCCGTTTTCACTCTAATTTTGCTGTTACTTCACCTCTCCTACCCTGTTACCGGGCGAATTATCGCTTCAGATTACGTTGTTTCGAAGAGGCCGGTGGTGAGTGGGATAAGATACGGAGATTTTTCGCTGGGGGTGGGGGTGTGTTATGAATGACTGAAGGCTGGTGCGCATGCGTGATGGATGACAGCTGGACGTGCCTTGCCAAACACTCAACCCCGGTGTCAACGTGGCCATATATGGAGTGGCAAATGGGGCACTGGGGCGGTTGTGGGTATTTTTAACGGAATTAGCGACGTGTTCGTGTGCCCGGGGCCTTTGGCTGCGGAGGTACACCGTGACAAAATCAGTAAACGATCATCTCATGGAATGATATTCCGCTAGGAGGCCGCCAGCTTGATACAATCCTCCGCATCAACCATGACAATGAGTGAATCCTCCTCATCTAAATTACCCACCGACTGTCCGAAAACCACACTTGACAGCTGTCCCAGAAAAGTGCCTTTGAGTGTATTAGCGTCAGGAACCCACGTGTGTCCGTAAGGTGACCGTACGTAGGTGGATAGGACAGCTAACAGTTGTTGGGTTTTGCAAAACGAACAGTAGCCCATTGTTTAGGTTTTTATATGGGGTGAGTTGGGGGAGGGGTCTTTGTAAATGCACTACTTGCTGTATGTATACATTGATGCTTTTTTGTCCACAAAAAATTAGCTTTCCATTGCTTATACAAGTTCTTTTATGTTGGGTGTATTGTATAAGGCCCAGAGAGAACTAGTTTGGCAGAACTCATGTCCTTATTTTGTTGTTTTGTCTAGTGTGTAGCGAACAATTACAGTTGTTTTTTTGAGGGCTAGAGGAGCATGTGTTATTTAATTATTGCCCTTCACCACAAGCTTCCACAATGTGATACAGAAATAAGATGTTTATTTGTGATTTTATGTAAAATTTTTTGTGCATATTGTATAATTAATCTACCTCGGTAGTCTATTGAGGCATGTTTTAAAATTTAATCTCAGCCCACTTTGGTAAAGTTCCAATGACAAAAATCACTTTAGGTGAACTAATTATTTAGCATTATTTTGCTCTGATGTATTAAGTCACATAAAGTTTAATCGATCTCCATGTTGATGCATAAAAGAGTTTTTACAAACAGTGATTTTTATTTTCTTTTGAAGTTCACCTAAAAATGAACATTAATTGTATTTGTTTTAGTATTTAGCAATTTGCGGGAAGAACTAATCACAAAACAAATATTTTACTGTAAGGAAACGTAACAATAGTAATAAATCCAGAAGAGATCTGTTTACATTATGAACATAAAACAAATCGTCAAAATGAACAGTGCAGGATCCAGTAATGAGTCTGTTCTAGATACATGCTTTATTCATTCCAAGTGAATGTGGAGGAAAGCGAGAAAGGACATGAGTGTAGCATTAAGGATGTAGGAGGGTAGTCATTTTCCCAGGCTCCTGCTTGCAAATGTGCCCTTTACTTGAAATGTACATCCAATTAAGAGAACCTGCCTTATTTGACATGATGCTTGTAATTCTCAATGAATTTGCTTAATTTAAGATACAGTAAACATCAGTTTCTAACTTATTCTACACTCAGTAGCAATATAACACAAAATCTGAGTGAAAATATAGGGGAAATGCTATAGTTCTATTTGCCTTATTATTTCTAATTATTTTTTTTCATTATCTGCTACAGAAATCTTATCTTAACTTCAATATATTAGGAGCTATCAAGATAAGCATTTTTTTCCATATTAATCTCTCATTTTGAATATTGAAACATATTTGGATCAGTATTCTGGAGAGATCTTTATTAATCTTTTTACAATTGAATGTATTCTTCAGTCATAAGTATCACAATAATAATGAAAGAAATGAACACTTTATTTTTTGGCTTCAAATATTTCGAGGTTGTACCCTCCCTCTTGTATTATGCTTACCATGACCCTGCACTTTATAAATGGTAATTGAAAATGGATTGGATGAATGAAAGTATTTCAGCTAATTGTTCGTTCAGGGTTAATGAATTCTAAGCTCATTGGCAATAATAACTAGGGCCCATATTCACAAAGCCCCTTGGTGTTATAAGCTAAAAAGTAGTCGAAAGGACTCCTAAGTCACTAAGACCAATTCAGAAACATTTGCAAAATGGCGGGATGATTATTAAAACTGATTTTTCATTTTTCTTTATCTCAGGCAGATTACCATCTAATTGACATTTGTATATTGATTACATGAAAATAACGTAATAAAACGGACATCATCATTATTTATTGAATTTTATTGACAATTTCAAGATACAGTACAACGATTTCAAATGCTTTTCAAATTATAGTACTGTGCAAATTAAATTCTGAATTGGGTATAATTCAAATACGCTATAATACAGTACTGTACATAAAATACAACTTATTGTAGTTTTGCTGCTGCATCTTGGTGGCTCGTTTTTGGCAGTTTATCAGAAGCTTTGATAAGTCTACATTTGTTATTGAGAGATAATGATTTCCTTTTTCATGTCATGTTTTCTGTGTGCGTAATGTTAGCCTCATGTAGCTAGCCAGAAGCAGATGGCTTTGCGCAAGGCATTAAAGTAGGCTTATCTAAGTAAAGTTAAAAATACAAGAATTGCCATAATGTTCATTTTTTCCATATGTTGTCATGTGCAAAAAGACACTGTAAGTGGACTACTTCATTACTATAAGTGAATTACTTAAACAGCATTTGTACAGGAATGATTCTGTCCCAAGCTATTTGATCCATATAAGCAGTTGATCTCCATAACCATGATCACTATATGCAGTTTCCATGGTATTTGTGTTTATGGGATGTTGCGCCGACATTTTCACCAGCACATACTGGCCTCTCATCAACTAATCCCTGTGGTTATTGCAGGCAAGCTCGTGTACGAGAACTGACGTCAGCCATAGCGACAGAATCTTACTCTTATCTCAGGCTCTTCTCCTAACTAAATGATGCTCTCAGCGACTTTGTAAATTGGTTTTAGCAAAAAACAGTTAGTTAAAAACATTTAGTGTGATTTAGGAGTACTCTTAGTGGTAAGCCCTGGATACATTTTGACCAATACATCTTGGATATGGTGGCCCTTACTCCGGCGTTAGTGCCCTGGTCTGTGGGTCAAGTTGTTGGTATATAACTTTGTATAAATAACATAAACATTCAAAAGTTATTGCACTTTTCTACATGGAAATATAGGTAATTGTTATGAAGTCACTGGGGCCTAAGGGATAACTTGAAGTCTGAGGTTAGAAATCTTGGTGTCTTCTTTATCGTTTAAGAAACATAGCAAAGATTTGATCCTCATCATTTAATAATGTTGAAAAATTTGATAAGTGACATATTTATTACTAGTCGCCTTGACCATTGTAATTCCCTCTATGCCGGTTTCCCAAAAATGACCATTAATAAGTTACAAGTAATTCAGAATGCTGTTGCCAGAATATTAACAAGAACGAATTAACATGAATCATGATCATATTTTGCCAATCCTGTATAACTTCCATTGGCTACCCTTATCTTTTAGAACTGACTTTAAGATAAATTTTTTAACTCATAAAGCACTAAATGGGCTAGAGCCTTCATACATTACTGACCTTCTTACCTTTTATACTCCAAGTAGAATTATGCAATCGATCAGCTCTGGACTTCTGTGTTTTCCAAGGGTGAAACGTAAGTATGGTGGAGAGGCAGCTGTTACGCATTATGCTCCAAAACTATGGAACATGCTACCAGAAGACATAAGTGAAGCAGAGTCGCTTAACACTCTTAAAAAGTTATTAGAAATACATCCTATTAGACTGGCTTTTAAAATCTGTTTATATGTTTTATTGTATTTCACTTGATTTTCTTGTTCTCCTTTACCATTGTTGTATTATTTGCTTGTGTCCTTTCGCTACCTATGACATTTATTACCTTTTAATTCTCTTTCATTATTATTTTGTGCATTGTATTCTTATGCATTTAATATTTGCTTATTTTTTGACCTTTTACTAAATTCATTTTGTTTGTAGATTCTCATCCCTTCTTCCTATTCTTTCATTGACCTTTTCCTTAGTTGTGTATTTTATGCAGTATCATTCTTTTTTTAATCCCCTATACAAATAACTTTGAACTGCGTTTCATGTATGATATATATAAAAACAGATTATATATATATCAATACAGAGTATTATTATTATTACTTCTACTGTAAGTCAGGAGTCTCCAAATTTGGTCCTCAGAGTGTGCTGGTTTTTGTTCCAGTAGATTTCTTTATGAAGCATTTTGGTTTGATTTTTGCTGTGCCTGAATGAATTGCACAGTTTTCAACACATTGCATCAGTTTAGCTCTTGCTCTGGTATTTACGCTTTGTAAAACCTTGAAATGGGCATTGTTTAAAAAAGGAAAAAAGAACGGTGACAGTTTCCAAAATCTGCTGTGTTTTTCTTTGATTTTTTTGTGAAAGTCAAATAAGAATAAACTACCATTCAGTCTCATTTAAATAACTTGGTTATTCATGCTTATCTTAATTGTTTAAGGGTTATGTATGATTAAGTGGTGAATGAATAAATGGGTGCACTGTATATTATCCAGTGTCATAGTGACTGTGCAGGTAGCACTGTGCTCTCAGGCCACAGTGTGTGCAGTTTCCCCTGGTTCTTCCCCCAGCTCCAGTTTCCTTCCACAGTCTAAAGATGTGGTTTTGTTGAACTCTTACTTCTAAACTTTCTTTGCTTTGTGATTATTATTAATTATTATTATTATTATTATTATTATTATTATTATTATTATTTGTTGTTGTTGTTCTAGTTATTGTGTGTCTGAGGGGGATAGCCTTGACAATTTTCTGCAATGGATTTGGAATTTTGGGAGAAAAATGGATGCCTTCTGACCCTGATCAGGATAACCAGTTATAAGATGGACAGAATGGATATATGTATTATTCTTTCATTTATTTTAGCTATATGTATTTCTGTATTTACCATTATAGGTCCCCCTTGACTCAATGATTGTTTCAATGTAACTGGAAAAAATACGCACTTCTTTAATTAACCACATCGCTGTGATTTGCGCTGTGTGATTTATACAATTAACAGCTAAGTTAAACGAAAACAGTCAAATAAAGTCAGTTTTAAGCACAGCTGTAGTGAAACCAAGTGTACCCTATAGCTTGTTTAAGCAGCAGGGCTCAGCATCTCTGCTCTAAGCAATCCACACATCGTATGCCACTCCTTTGTGCTGCATGTTAATCAAAGCTATGGCATCCTCTTTCCCTCTGTGGATTTTGCAAGTCTTGCAGAAGCTATATATAGCAATAGGCGAGCACTGACACCATACTAATGCCATGTGCTCATTTCAGTTTTTGGTTCAGGGGTTATTTGTGTAGCTTGGATGAGATGAAGGACTTTCTGAAGGCCATGGCTGATGTTGAACCTTTAATGCAACATATTTGGAAGTGTATTGCTTTCATTCAGCTGCTGTTTAAATTAAATGTCAATGTTTGGATAGCTTGAGGTCAGGTATTCTGGTTCAGGCTTTAGCCTGAATGCTTCAGTTTTGAGCAAATGGATGTGAGGCTTTCAGTTCCCAAGACTAACTTTAGAGGAGGTTTTTCTGGCATTGTGAGCTCTGTGTCATCACAGTGTATTCCTGCAGCCTCATTTTAACAAGCTAGCCTTGAGCGAGCACCTCCATTTAAACACTCCATTGCAGGAATGACCCATAAAGATTTAGATAATTATAGAGCCAATGTATGTTGTTAACTTAAAGTGCAATGTGGGCTGGTATTAGTGTTACAGAAACAGTAGAGGAAGTGGTGCAACTAAAGATGTTGCTACGGATATTCATCCACCCACTCCCTACAAAGAGTGAACTGTAATCCAAATAAGGAGGTGTGTAAAGTTATCCAGTTGTCTGGAGCAGTGTGTTCACAGCATGTTCCACTGCTGCCTACGTTTCTAATGGACGTCTAACATGCTTCGCTGTGACAGTACTAGTTTGCCAGGAAATGTGTGTGTGTGTGGATATAATGAGTATACCTGTGTTCCTCTTCTGTCTCTAAACGCATAAGAAAAACACAACTGGAAGTGCAGTTTCGGCTCATGTTGCTTGATGGCATGAATAGTTATTAGGGATACGGCAGCAAACATTTGAGGTGAATGGTTCAAAAAATTTTTTGTAAACTGTCTTTTTCATCTCATTAATGAGAATTACTCACCTGCTCTCTCCATGCCAGAAACATCCATAGCTGCCAGCTTTTCACTGCATTACACTCGCTCTATAATTAGCACTGACAGCACTGCAAGCCCTGCAAGTCTCATCTTAAATGATTCAGTGTTACAGTGCAAAATGTATTTTGGGATTCTCACCTGGCCTTTCGTTTGTCGTTTTTTTGTAGGAACTGACAGATTTACAGAGAGATCCTCCAGCACAGTGTTCAGCGGGACCAGTCGGCGATGATTGTAAGTGACTGAGCCTAGCTGAGGGTCCTGGAGGTGTAATGTAGGTCACATGTCATGCCTCAGATGGCTAGCCCTTCTAAAAGTTTATCCTTAAAACTTTCTGCTGTTAGATACTTACAGTATCACTAGGACTTGGAGGCCAACTGTGCCTTTCTAACTCTGAGACGTTGCAAGATGCAAAAGAGTTCCATTGATTTTGGATACCATTTGAAAGGTTAAAATAATGCCAAATATTGGTAATAGATAAATAAAAGCCATGCCTGAACTGATGCTATGATGACCGTATCTAACCCGAACAGGTTCATAGTTCTTACATCTTCTATATCTTTTTGTTTGGCAGAATGGTTTGCATTTTTTTTTTATTTATACATAGAACAAATATACATTTAGTGAAAACCTAGAGTAAAAAGAAAAAACAAAACATTTTGTGGTGATGTGGGAAGTATAAAAGTGAAGCTGAAATGAATGGCTTGAATGAATATGTAGGTAAGAATAGTGACACCAGTTAGATCTGCCCAAACAGGATGTGGTGATGGCTTTTTTCTGTTTAACGTGGTATATCTTGTGTTTTCAGTATTTCACTGGCAAGCAACAATCATGGGGCCGGTATGTAAAGCTTTCTCTGTTTTGTGCGCACAGTCTAAAATGAATGTTAGATTTAGTATTATTTATTATTATTATTATTAGTATTAGTAGTAGTAGTAGTAATAGTAGTAGTAGTAGTAGTATTTTTTACAAACAAAGTGAAGGAAATTGTGGTTGCTATGTAAACATTTCAGAAATCATTGATTTCAATGAATTATTGTTTTAATTTGATTGTTTTTGGCCTTAATTTCCCTCTTTAATTGTTTCTAGAATGACAGCCCGTACCAAGGGGGGGTCTTTTTTCTGACCATCCATTTCCCCACTGATTATCCCTTCAAACCACCAAAGGTGAGACACGAATCCCTGCTCTGATCATGAAGCTCCGGCATCACCAGAGAGACAGCGCTTTAAAATGTAGCGATGCAATTGTAGGTTGCGTTCACCACAAAGATCTACCACCCGAATATCAACAGCAACGGCAGCATCTGCTTGGATATTTTGAGGTCACAGTGGTCACCTGCTCTCACGGTTTCCAAAGGTAAGTCTCTTTGTATTCAGAAGATGTTTTCAGGATCCGTTAAAAACGCTGTACCACAGAAACTGGTTTTACTTTTAAATAGTGTAACCAGAGTGAGCAGTCAGGGTCTAGAGGAGCTTCTCAGATCATTCTCTTTGCTGGTTAACAATTGCAAAGCTACAACACCCTCCACTCTTCGATAAGCAATGAATCTGCCTCATTAAAATTTAGTTCCTGCTGTCACTAGTTGGTAGGGTGATTTTGAGTTGCAAGGTAATAAACTCTTAAAAGAGAGTAACTTGAAAGAAAACACATCATTTTAGCTGTAACTGAAAAGTGGGTACCAGTATCTCCTCAAGCTTCCATAACTGCATCTATGATTCAAGTATGCATGCAAATAAATCTGAAAAACTTGTTGACGTACAAATGTGCTTTTCCATTGTAGGCGTGGTTTTTCATCTTCTTTTTGATGCCATGCAGACATCCAGCTAGGCAATGGAAGCAGTTGAGCTGAATTATATTTAGATTAGGTTGGTGCAGGAGACAGGGCTACGTCTTCACGCCATCTACTCAGGGGAGACTTAGCCAACAGGAAGTGTTGTCATGGCAGTAGAGATTAAAACAGCATGCTGTATGTAGGTGTCAGATCATTTCAAGATTCAGAAGCCCTGTGCAAGTGTAATTCTGAATCTAGATTACCTAGGTTTATCTGCATTTCTGTGTAGTGGTTTTTTTTTTTTTTGTCGTCTGTAGTGGTTGAATCCATGACAACCAATAAAGAAAAAGATTAAACACAAATCTTAACATCATAACACTTTTGAGACTGAATGTAGAAAAATAAAACCAAAATTTAAATGCCTTCAAATATGTAGTGCAGCCAAGTATTTCTGTCTGGGAAATCTATCGAACTTCACACTTGGCATCTAAAACAATAGTCTAAAACATCTGAAAGATAAACATGCCGTATAATCTGCTATCTTACATCATTTGCATTTCAGTTCTTTGTTCTGAAAATCATTTACATTTAAATTGTAGTCAAAAGTTACTGTGGATTTGATATATTATGTTTTGGAAATATTATTCAATAATCATTGTTTCCCTACAATGCAGTTCTACTGTCCATCTGTTCCTTATTGTGTGATCCAAACCCCGATGACCCCCTGGTACCAGAGATCGCACACACCTACAAAGTGGACAGGGAAAAGTGAGTGTCTTCTTACTGTGCTGTGGGATGTAGCACAGTGCCCAGGGCATTTCATGCTACACTGTTTTAATGGAGCCAAATTCGATTAATCCCACCAAGGGGAAATCAAACTGGAATGTTGCTGAAGGGAATTGCATTACTTTGAATATTAATTTCGCTCATTCGCAAAATCACATGCTTTTGTGATGGAGAAGATGCTTATTTTTCACTGTTTTGCAAGTCAACATAATGTAGAGTCTGTGTCCTCTGCAGATTTCCAAGTATTTTTCTAATCTTTCTGGATATCAATATCCAGTAAATGAATTCCTGATCTGTCTGTCAATACATATGTTTAGGTTTCCAAAGACCTTCTCCTGTAATATTTGTAAGATTTTCATTTAAAAGACATCCTAAGTCCTTTGTGTTACAGAAAAGTAAAGAATCGTGAAATGCCTCATTTGGATTTGTATGTGAACACTGTGTTTCACATATTAGGAAACTGATATTTCCATGAAATAAGAGTGTACTAAAATTTAAATTGGTATTGTGGTAACATTCCTACTGCAGTAATCAGGAAGAACACAGTGGAACAGTATGATAAAATTGTGTACAGTACATATCATGGTTCATATGATTATGAACTATGGTGTAACCATATTTTTTTTTTTTGGTTTCTTCCAGGTATAACAGACTTGCCAGGGAATGGACGCAGAAGTATGCAATGTGAAGCTTTTGAAAACTGCAAAAAAAAAAAAGAAAAAAAAAGAAAAGAAAAACATACATACACATACAGGAAAACAAAAACATTTTGCTTGACATGAGCGTGAGTGTTGGGGAGGGGGAGGGGACAAGTGAACTGCATCACCAGATTGAAGACGGACAAAGAGAGAGACGCAGTCTGACTGGAGCGCGCCATTGGCCGTGAGCCACGGGGGTCAGAGGTGCTGGGCTGGACGGCCGCTGCCCAGTGTCGCTGTGGAGAAGGAACAGGCCTCATCTCTAAGCGTGCCCGGCCGGCGCCCTGCTTTCAGGGACTATCTTTTACTACTACTGCTACCCTTCCTCTACTATTCTACTAGTATCACTATCATCAACATAATGACCCATGGTTACTGTTTTTTATTATTGCTATTATTATTATTGTTGTTGTCGGTGTAATGAAGATTATGCTACTGAATGCTGAATATTGGGTTGAGAAGTTGAGTCTCCGAGGCTAAACACTCCTTTGACACGGTACTTTCTGAGCCCCCCCTCCGAATGTCTTGTGTTTCTGTACGCATAAGAGTGCAGTGGCCGTTTGCCGTATTAACCTTGTTAACCTTCTCCCGGGCCCCGTTCTGTCGAGAAGAATCAAAGTACGGAGAGATTCAATCATGGTCAGCTATGGCAATTTTCCTTTTAAATTTTTAATTTGAAGGGTATTTTGAGGCAGAATTCTGTGGACCTTCCTATGTACGCTTGTACGTAGGTGGACCTCACGGGGGGGTTGTGCTGTGACAGATGTGTGTTTTTTTTTTTTCTCCCCAAGTGAGGCACAATCAGGGTTGGTCTTCGACTATGAACAAAAAAATGGAGGACAGGCTGCGTCCCAGCGCAGAAGACACTTTCTATCTTGTCTCCCTTCTGCCACGAAAGAATCATCTAAGTTTCTAGTTGCAGTGTGTCTCTGTGACCTTAGTCCTGGTAGAGGGGAAGAAACACTACTTAAGGTGTAACTGGATCCAGTGCAGCAGTGCTCAGCACAGCCTTAAAGGGGGCAGCTTCCTGGCTACTGGCTGCCAGGCTTTGCCCATCACTAAGACTGAGAAGCTGGCACACAACTGTTAAATACATACTTTATTCCCGACCTCTCCTTTGGTGTGAGACGCAGACCTGTGTTGCATGGCATGCAGAGGTGCTGGTTCATTTCAAAAGTATTCTGAAATACTGCAGCTGTATTCAAGTAGTGTGTGCAGGGACCCAGCTCTGGGAGGGGACCCCTTTTCAGCCTCTCTGTTCCCACTCTGCAGATCCTGGTGTATGTGTGTGTTACACTTGTGGAGTTTATGGACATTTATGATGTCCTAAAAGTCAGCTGTCCATGTACTGTTTTATCCTGCTTTGCGAAGACCTTGAAGAAACTGGAAAAAGAAACACTCTAACAAGGCTTTAATTTTGTTTTCTGAACAATTTGAAGTGTAATGGTTTTCTCCTTTCCGGTCTGAAGCTTGATCAAAGACTTGGGCCAGACCTTTTTACACTAAAATTCAGTATTCTTTTTTTTTTTAATTAGTTAACTGTTCCACTCTGGAGCTGATCTAGCATTTTATCATTCTTGCGTTTAGTTCTGTCCCTTATTTTTGCAAAGAAATCACTGGGTGTAGTGCTGAACTCAGGGTTGAAATTTAACGTGGAACAATGTTCTATCCCTTTAAAAGGTTAATGCAATTATTGATGGGCTACAAAAAGGTTTTTTGACATATTAAACTGCAAGATTTTCAAGCACATTTTGAAAAGCGAATAGCCTATTTTAAAACAAAATTGACTATTATATGAGTATTGGTGAAAAAATTATACTTAAGTGTAATTAATGTAGAAACAATGAGTGGTCTAGGCATATATATTCACCTTAAATTTCGACGAAACCCACTTAAACGGTTTTGACACTGATAGTCTGCAAAGGTGTACCTAAGCAATACAAACTAGATGTCTACTGGTTTTAAGTGTTAACTCATGAATGTAATACACTAGTTTTCAGAAAGTATTCAAGCTAAATTCCTGGAAATGTGATTGATCTGCCCCTACTTCTTTCAAATGAGTGCCCGATTGTACTACTTAAACAAAACTGGTGCTACTGTTCTGTTATCTCAAGCTCTTTTTTTGTCAGTCTGTTTGCCACTGTGGTTGGTTTCAGGTCTTTTGACATTGGGACATCTATTTTCTCAATAAAAGTCAAAATGAGACTAATGCAGACGACCTGTGGTCTAGTGAACTGCAGGGCAGACCGGCATCTTTCACTCAGACGTCAGCAAGGTGTGGCAAACCGCTTGCTGATGGCGGTAAGGAGATCTGCGCTGGAGATGTTTCTCTTTGTGGTTGGTGATTGACTAGTTTTGAGTAGTTCAGGCAGCTACAGGGGCCCAAGCAGCCTGTTAAAAGCATCTAAAGGCCCCACCACCCTCTTTCACATGCTTGTGTCATTAGCCAAGATTAGGTTTCAATCCACCTTTTCTCAAGAGCACATGTTCTTGCCATGTGATAAATTAAGGCTACGATTTTGCAACACAGATAATTTAAATACATTTAATATCCTACTACGGCTTTGCACAGAAAAATAATATCACTATATTGGCACCCCATGGTAGTCTGTAATGCTTTTGAATGTATCTTTTACACACAAGTGTTTTTACAGCAGGGAAGAACAATTGATTGTGGATGTATTGCGTTAAAACACTGGAATGGTTATAAACTGTAGCTAAATTCTTATGCTTTTATATATAATTATTTATTTGTTTTTTGTATGTGTCTTCCAGTTGTTGGCTTGAGTGCAAGCAGCCTCGTTCATGACCTTTTTCTTTTTTTTAATTGCTTTCTTTTTCCCACTAAGTGAAGATGGTGTATATCTCATTGGGATGTTTTGTGTGCTCCAGTTCATCAGCATGCTGTGCACATTGAAAAAAAGTAACTTGTTTACAGCCATACGCAAGATTTCAGGGATTTACATTACGATTCATACGCCTGTCTTGACACCCTTGGCAAAGTTTTAGCCTTAATTTGGTTTATCCTACATATGGACATTGTGAAATGTCAACTAGGGCTTCATCACTTTTTCCATCAAAGGGGGAAACTACAATTTCATGTCAGCAGGAGGGGGGCATTCAGCGTAAACATCGCCCTCCTTTACTTACACCAAAACTTGCTAACTTGAAATGCTAGATACCTCCCGTTTTAAGATACTTAAACGGCTTACTGGTCTTAACAATGCTATGTGTCTGTTCTGAACCCTCTCCCCCCCCCCACCCACCCACCCAGTACCACCAACACAACTTCCCTCCCAGTGCATTCTGGCTGAGAAGAAAGTCCAAGGTGTCAACACTGAATAAACGAAGCTCTTTTTGTTGTACAAGTTGTCCGAATGTTATTTCAAAAATATGATGATGAGTCCACAGCGAATCTGGACAGTGAAGTGCGAATGTAAGTGATATTAGTTGCACTTTTCTGTCCAACTAAGTAAATAGGGGTATACATTTCTTAGATTCATAAAGATAAGCACAAACTCATTAACTGGGGCAAATTGGTTTCAGATAGAAAAAGATTAATAGGTCCAAATGAAACAAAAAGTTTTTAGTAACCTTTAACCAAGCCAAAAAAAGTCTTGAAATAAAACTTAAACTGACCATTGAGTCTTTTCAGTGGAAGCAAATAGTGAAATAGCTGGGCGTCCTATACCTATTTTAAATGGGGAGAAACACCCAATTCTCTTGTGCATACAATATGTCTCATAACTGATTTACTCTTCTGGGTCAGACTGACCTTCATCAGACTTTTTTTATTTTCTACAAAGCATACATTTAATATTAGATTTATTCTGTTTTGACCATCCCAGGCAACAGAGGGCACAAGGCAGGAATACTCACACAACAGGAAATGTAGATTCACCATCCACCTTGTATTTAGACTGCAGGTAAAAACATTATGGAGAGACCCTACAAACGCACAGTGATGTGAGGCCATAGTCATAACCTTTGAAACACTGCCATCTCATTATAAAACTGCTTAATTATATGTTTCAATTGTTTTATTATTAGTATTTTATTTATGGTAATATTATAAGCTATAAATATTATATATAGCAGTGTTTCTCAAACGGGTCTTTGGGACCCCCAGACAGTTCATGTTTTTGCAGAAGGGGGGGGAGCAAACATGTGGCCCAACTGCAGGTGCCAGAAGACAGGATTGAGAAACACTGATATATACTTACATGTATGTAACTGGCGAACTCAAACTGCATTAAACTACCGACTGAGAACATAAAAGTCTGAAATATAGTATTTCAAACGGGCAAGCGATTACCTACAAAAATATTTAATTGCGGGTTAAGGTGAATTTAAAGGGCAAATTATTTAAGAGACAAAATGCAATAAAAACATATCGTTGCCCATATTCAGAAAGCTGGGTGTGAGGTAATGTGGAGGACTGGGTAACTTTACTGTCCAAACCTGAACTAATATTTTGGTAACACTCCACCTGTTACTTTAAGTGTACGGTTAGATTACAACACAACAAATTTTGTGTAATATGCTTTTAATAATATCATTGAATGCTATAGCTTACTTGATTTTAAGTTAAATAATCATTTATATTAATCTTAGGATTTGTCAAGATTATGCCGTTTTGAAAAGCCCTTTGTAAATTGAATGTAGCCTACTAGACGTGTAATTAGAAGTTACATCAATGAAATTTAGAAATGTAGAAATGTGTTTTATTTTCGTCGTGCGTTGTCTGGATTCTCCATCCGATACACCACCAACCTACAGAGGGCCCCTATTCACCGCAAATCGGCGCAAAGTTACCCAGCTCTCCTTGGTCATTCTCTGGGAGATAGTGAACTATTGTTTATAGGCACTGCAAACTGACCCGAAATCAGTTTGTGTATTTGTCACGCAATGGCTTGAAACAGTGATCGGCAGGGGATGAAATGACTCTGAATCAGATTTCAGTGGGGAGAAGCCGCCGGAGCGGGGCTTGCTCTCGTCGCTGTGACGAATCTGGCTCCGCTTCCTGTCGATGCACAAACTCGGATCGCGATCAGTGGCAGGCAGGCAGGCAGGGAGGCTCCACTTAACCGCCTGTCACTCCGGCACACGGCGCCACCATGTCCGTGAACCTGAGCAAAAACGGCCCGGCGCTCACAGCTGCCTATAAAGAGGTAGTGGACGAGAAATCGAGCACTAACTGGTAAGAGACTTTAATATCGCCTCATGGCTTGTTTCGCTGTTCATTTCTCACTTCTCCGCAAGCATTCCTGAGTAAGCACCTTCCTTCACGTCAACTAACTTATCAAGCCAATTCTGCATAAATAAAGTGTTAAAACACATCTGTGTTCAGAATAAACGTTTATTTATTTATTAATTTCTCCCGATGGCCGGAAATCCTTTACCTCTGTGCTGAAACGCTAATGCCTGCGCTGATAAGGAGGCGTATGCGCCGCGGTGATGTTATTCCCGGCGGTTTGTCTAGCGGTAACTAAGGTCTTTTTGAGGTTACGGTGCGTTTGTACTTGTAACAGACTCTCTGATTGGCTCGCGGTGTTTAACAACGCCGAGCCATTGACATATAGCTACTATTACAGGGCCATATGTAATTCCAATGTCATTTTCTGCATACGCTTCATTCGCTCTGCCTTGAAATAAATGTTGTCCTGCTGGGAGATCTGCGTCACTCCCAACAGAAATCTGCCTATCTTATAGCTTCATTTTTGCCCCTTAAGTTTTAAGTTAGAATATTTTTCCCCCTCGCACTTCTCGCGGTGTTTAAGTGTCATCATATTTCCCCAGAAATACAGTTTTTTTAGTAAAATAAACCCCGACCTCTATCCATGTGCATTTTACAAACCGCTTTCATAATAAATTGTTAATATCACAATGCAGTCCGGTGTTGTTGCCATGCGTACGCAGTTTACGTCACCGTATTAATTGCAACAATTATTCTAAACTGTTTGCGTGAAGAAAACACGAAAGACCAGTATTTATTTTTTTGTAGTGTTTTCATTAAATTAATTTTTTAAATACCGATGTTAACTGAAACGAGTCCTGGAACATTACAGCAGGACATTACGGCCTTAGTGCGGAGGAGGCTGGCGATAGTTAAACGGAAAGTGCCTGTGTCTCCCATCCGTCTAAGTTTGTTGTGCTCATTAAAACAATACCCTCCCAATAAACTGAGTACATAAAGCTTTTATTTAAGCATTAAGCTGTGCTGCTGACTTTGCTTCTCTGAGATATGTTAAGACCGCTAGTGTGACATTCCAGCGCCAAGTCGGTTTGTTTTCGGCTTGTTACGTCACGCCGTGTATAGAATTTCTTCTTATAGTACAGCAAACAGAATATAACTCGTTCATAATATTTAAATCAGTTTACATCACTTAACTAATCATTTTGACACAACTATCAAATCCTGACCTTAGAAGCACTTGTTTGTGTTCACTGTGTTGTACATAGTTGATTGAGAAACATCGAGTGATATAAAGTGTAAGTAAGATCTTAGCTATTTGAAGTAGTACTTGGCTTAACATTGGCATCGAATCTAGGTGTATTCTAGATATGTGTGATGGAGCATGAAAACGCATTGCATTTCATACGTTTTCCTAGCAGCGTGAACTGTAGTTAGCAGGGAGGCTGAGTCAGGAAAATGGCATGAAGGAGGAATGTCTGCGTTAGAGGAGCGGGGGAAATCCAAATGGAAATCGTAGTTTACAAGCATAAGGCATTGCGAAAGCATGCACAGAAAATAAACCCTTTTACAAAAAGTTAACACCCGTATAGATTTGGTGTTAAATGTCAGTCCGTAATGGAACGTTTTAATTACGGTGTTTAATGGTGACCTGCATTAATTAACCTAAGTTTTACAGCATGGGATTTGCTGCTTCCCTGCTATGGTACTGTTAATTAACATCTTTTCAACATATACGTGCTAATAATGTACTGCATTCGAACAAACTGTATGAACAGTCCTGTCTTCCTTTTACCTTCCATTGACACTGTTAAGTTACAGACAGTGTGTTAAATCTCTGACACATATCCAGTTCATGCTGTCATGCTATATTTCTGTTTTGTATATTGCATTTTTGTTAATCATAATTGGGGGGCAGAAAGGAAATTGACACTCATTATAGAGTCCTAAGTAATGGTGTGTTCCATTTGAACTGGGAAGTTGGAATTTCCAAGTTCCTAGTCAGAAATTTGAACTGGAACTCCACCTGAAGTCGGAATTCCTACTTGGAAAGTCGGAGGAGCCTCTGCAACCCCAACCTGAGAATTCAAGATGGCTGCACCCTTCGTCAACAGAAGTGAAAGTTGTAGTTATATACTGTTTAGTAGCACTTAAGTCTCATTTGTGTCTCATTAAATCGGCCATACACACAGTACTGTCCAGCCTTTGTGGTCATGTTGCTACGTTGCTTGTATTCCTGAAAAACCCTGTAATGCATCGTTATCAACTGGTATTGCTAACAATGAATCTGGCTAGATTTGGTATTGCTAAATGGCTTTCCCACATGTTCTGGAACACAGATAACTTGGGTGTGACGTCATTCCCAGCTCCGACCTCCGAGGAAAATGGAATGCAGCAAAAACACCCTCCTTGCATTTTCTGTCCTTGCCTGTAATAACTTCAAATCTTTCCTTCAAGGACGGAAGCCTCAAAACCAGACATAGACAGTGGTTCATATTTGGCTCCTGAATTGCAATGGATAGCTACAGTCTTTTAGTATTAGACAGACGTGGTGTGTTTCAGTGGAAAAATTACAACATCGAGAAGATTCTAATCACAGGGACTAACAATTCCGCTTTCAACTGGTTGACTAGCAAAGGAATTTAACTAACCGCTGTGCGTTGCCAATATAATGTGGTTGCTGCAGTGTACAAATTCCTGGTCACACAAGTACAAACTACTAGCATAATGGCAACCTAGGCAAGATGATTAAAAGTAACGTAATATACCTCTCACACTTAAAGATGTAAAAATATAGTTTGCTTTTTAATGATCACCAATGGTCATTTTGCAGATTTGAGCTGTGCTATGATCTGCTGGCTCCATTTACTTGAATGAGCAAAATATACATCTGGCAAGAACACATTTTCTTTTTCTTATGATTTTTCAAGAACTTTGGTGATGCCTCTGCACTGTTTCATAAGTCCTACATGTTTGAATTGGCTTCATTCCCCCCAAAGTACATCCTCACAGTGTTTCTCACTTAGGTTAGCTGATATATCCTCTCATATCTCTAAAGCAAATGCTGGATATTAAGTCGTCCCCCCCCCTTTTCATATGGATCCCTGATGTCTCCATATAACACTTATCCTTTTTTTACTTTTTTTTATATATATATAGATTTTGCACACCACTACTGCTTGTGAAGCTAGCACACAAGAATTTCACTCATATGTACTGTACCAGTAACATGATGTGACAATAAAGATTTTAAACTTGAAACTTAACAGTCAAAACCTTCTACCTTGGTCAGGGGTGGTGAACCTGATCCATGGAGAGATGGCGTGGGTTTTTGGGGTGACCTCTCAATCAGCCAATAACAGTGGGTCCCCAGGTCTGGAGTTGAGAACCACTGCTTTATAATTGGCTGATTGAGATGTCATCCAAAAAACTTGCACCCACAGCAGCTCTCCATGGATCAGGTTCACCACCCCTGACCTAGGCTGTAATCTTCAGAAAGAAGCAGTTATGCATTACTGTCAGACTGAGTTCACCAGTACTTTTGTATGTGGATTTGTTTAATGTGACTTTTTTTTTTGTCCAGGGCCTTGTTTACATATGAAGGGAACACCAATGACATCCGACTGGCTGACAAGGGTGGTGAGTATCATGGTTCAGAGACAAGAATTACCTTGAGACTCTTAGTGGAACTGTAACTTGTGTTTGTGTAAAAATGTATATATTTTGGTTTCATTCCAATGAGTTACAGTAGTTTTGGTGATTCATAAACTGTGGTTGTAAGTATAATCTATTGAATCTTTACACACCAGCCCAGTGATTGAATGTACTGTATGTCTATGTGTCCATATACACTGATGAGAAGGCCGACTCCCATTTTGACTACCCCTTCCCTTCTTTGCCTTGTTTGTTCTTCCAAAGTCTTGTGGGGCGCAACCATTTTTGGAAGCCGCCTGAACATTACTAGTCATGCAGTGGTACTAGCTGGCAAACTGGATGTGGTGAAGCTAATATCATTCCTGCCTGATGACAATAACACTTTTTAAATTCTTTTTGTGCTAATGAGGGACCCCGGTAGCAGTGATTTTGCTTATCCCAGATTATTGAGGATGAGGTTAGACTAATTTAATGAGATCGATTGGCTGGATGCAGGTGAGGTTCTGCTGTTAAGTTTTATTTGTTCAGTGAACTACATACCTTTGTCTCCATTCCTATAGTTTAGTGTTTCTCAACCCAGTCTGCAGGGATCCCCAGACAATTTACACTTTTCCTCCTTCCCAGCTCTCAGTATTGATGGGCAATATGGACTTAAAATTTTATCACGATATTTTCTGGTATTTATTGTGATAGCGATATGAATGACAATAAAAAAACACCATTACAGTTCAGCACTCTTATTACTTGACCTTGCGGTCTCCTACTCACGCATCTTCTAACTTTCCCCATATTCAGGTTTGTGTTTGAGGTGGCTTTTGTTTTTGCAAACTTTGCATATTTCAGTCCTTTGCCCTGCGTCAGATTTTCTGTAACCAAACCAGTTCCAGGTGATCGAGGTAGCTCCTTTTTTTTAGCAATTAACTCTTCCTAGGCTACTAAAACTACTCCACCTTTCACCATGCTCGTTACAGTGGACCAGGCTGTGAGTACATCACACACACATATACCTCATCAACTACAGTTTATTGTTATTAACACAGGATTATTATTACAGTGGGGAATTTTTTTCCCGGTATATTGAAAATCATACAATATTGCCCATCCCTAGCTCCCAGCACGCCTTAACCAGACAGTTTAGCAATCAAGAACCCTGAACACTTGGTACAGGTGTTTTGGGGGCGGGGGAGGGAGGAAAAATGTGGACTGCTGGAGGTTCCTGAGGACTGGCTTAATACATTCTGGTATAGATAACTTTTGCTTTTCACCATAATTTTGCATGGACAGGAATGCATGAGCAAGTTGCGGTGCAATTGCATTGATTATTGGTGACCTTCAGAACATCCTATTGTTGTTTGCCAAGGCAACACTACTCATGTCAACACATCCATGCACAGCTTTTTTGTTAGATGTTTGCAGCATTGGACGTGACAGGAGGGGCTCAGTCTGTTTCATCATCAGAAAGTTATCTGCAGTTGGACTGTAATTCAGGTTCAGTTGTGAATTAACCATCTGAGAAAGACGTGTAAAATACCGCTGGCGTTAGAAGCTGGGTGTTGTTGTGTCGGCAGGTTTGCCCTGCAAAGGACTTTTATCAGCTTTTATGTGATATGAAGTATTCAGCTGCCTTCCAGTTAACCACAGTAGTTTTAACATTCCAGACCCTTTTTTTAAAATCAATGCCTAGTTGATCAGAACCTGGTGTCTGGTTTTCATCATTTCTCCCTCTGTGTGAGTTCTTTAAGGCCCCACTTTAGTGAGCATACATACGTTTGTGTATGTGTGTCCTCTGTGTTGATAGAGCTCATGATCTGTTGTAGATGGGGGTCTGGAGGAGCTGTTTGAGGAGCTAAACAGTGGGAAGGTGATGTACGCGTTCTGCCGCGTCCAGGACCCCAACTCCGGTCTGCCCAAATATGTGCTCATCAACTGGGTGGGTAATTAGAGTTGCATGTCGTTAGCACAAAGTATGCTGCATTCCATTTGAACTGGGAAGCCGGAATGTCCGAGTTCCTCGTCAGAAATTTCATGCCTTTAATTAATTTAAATTAATGCCTTGTTATCAACTGGTATTGCTAACAATGGCTGCCAATAAACCTGTCTAGAACTGGGGTCTGTTTCAGAAAGCAGGATTTCTTGCTTAGCAGTATAATCTGTCTGATTTAAGGTAGTCTGGGCTTAAATGTAAGTGAACAAACATAAAGGCCATTTCAACTGGGGTACCTTAAATCCGACAAGTTATCTGGCTAAGCAAGAAATCCTGCTTTTGGAAATGGGTTCCTGGTGTTGCCAAATGCCTTTCCGACTTGTACTGAAATGCAGTTACCTCGGGCGTGACATCATTCCCAGCTCCGATTTCCGACCTCTGAGGTAAATGGAACGCAACATGAGCTCAGAACTTTTCACTTTACCTTGTCCTTATCTTGAAAAAGTATGAAACATTTATGTAAAAATTTGACTCAATGAAAAGGGCCCTTGCTTCTGTGATTTTTCTTGCAGACTGGGGAAGGGGTTAGTGATGTTCGGAAGGGACTGTGTGCCAACCACGTCAGCTCCATGGCCAATTTTTTAAAGGTGAGTGCTGGCTGCTCCTCTGAGCTGCTTTTTTTTTTTACCCTTAAATGGTCAAGTGTTGGAAAGGTCGCGCTAAGCTGACTGCGTCAGTACAATCTCAGTTCATAAGCAGCTTCCCTCACGCTAGTTTTTTGTGAGTGTGTTGGCGCCATTCTTGCATTGTATTTTAAATAAAAGTAATAATGTGAATGACCAAGTTGTACAAGCTAATTTCAGCAACCTATGGCAGAGAACATAAATAAATGTAAATATTAAACGTTTTGGATCGATATTCAGATCTAGATTCAGATTCTGATCTAGAGGCTTTGCCCTTTACTCCTGAGCTCACTCTCTCTTTAGCTACATGAAAATGACAAGCGTACATAGTTATCATCTAGGGCAAGTGCTGCTGTGTTGGTTCATTACTTTCACTTCCTCAAATGATTTCGGTGCCTTTTTATTGTTTTTTTTTTTTTTTTTTTTTTTTTTTACACATCCCGTGGATATGGCAAACTCACTATTTCACATGTTATTTTGTACCTTTTTTGCCATTTGTAGTTTTTAGAATAAATGAAAAAAGAATTACATTCATTTGTTTACAGCAAATGGATGTCCTAAGGGATATACACGTGAGGATCAGAGGGGAGGACCAGACAGTGTCCTTGCAGCTGATCTGATTAAGGGCCCTTCTCAAGGGCCCAGTGGTGATACGATTACTCTGCCTGCAGTTGATAAATGGTTCATTGAGTTGTGTTCTGAGATAAAGGCCATGATAACGGAATGGCTTTATGCTGAAGCAGTGTGTTGCATACGTCTGCCAAGTGACCTTTAATGTCCAGTTATTGTTTTTTCTCTGGAATTTTTGGGCCTTTTTGTCGTGGCCTGTGACGTGTGACCTGTAAATTCAGGAACTAATTTGCCAAAGCTACATCTTTTAAGACCATCAGAAGCAGCGTCTGATGCACATGGATGCTGTGGCTGGATCTTAGCCTAAGAGGCCTGCTTGAGGAGGGACTGGGAACGAGATGGTCTGAGAACGTCAGACTAAAGTAACACACCCTGTTAGCTTATTCCTTCTCCTGTGCGGCTCCATTTGTTTTACTTTCCATCACCCTGTCAAGGAGCGCACAGAATGTTTGCCTTTTACAGTAATTGCTCTGAAGTTAGTTGCATTGTCAAAGTCTCTGTTCTGAACTTTGCTACTTTGTGGCCACGTGACTGTTTCCCGACATCGTTCCAGGGGGCCCACGTGACCATCAACGCCCGAGCGGAGCAGGACGTGGAGCCCGAGGCCATCATGCAGAAGGTGGGCAAGGCCTCAGGAGCCAACTACAGCTTCCACAAGGAGTCCAGTCGCTTCCGTGATGCCGGCCCCCAGGGACCCGTGGTACGTCTGGCTGGATGAATCTTTTGTCATTTATTAACTTATCTTCCGGAGTGAATGTTTGGTTTAGGGAGCTGAAATTGCTGCCCTTTTACCCGGATTGTATTTCCCTGTGTTTTTGCTCTGTTAGTGCAAGTTTCCTCTAGCAATAATGATACTTTATTGATCCCTATGTGGAAATTCTCTCTTTGCCCACTCCATTATGTTCTCAGTGAGAGCGAAGGGGTTATGGGCTTTGTCACGGGACCACAGATGTGATTATTCTGCTGAGGCCAGGTTCAAACCGGCGACCTTCTGATCACAGGCACAGAAGCTGGGCCAAATGCCGCCCCCTTGAGACACTCCTCTGGTTTCCTCCCACAGTCCAAAACATACAATTTAGCTGAATTGATCCAGTAATTGCCCAGAGTATGTCTGTGTACATGAGCGTGTGCCCTGCAATGGACTGACACCTCATTGAATACTCAGTATACTCCTGCTTTGTACCCTCTGCTTCTTGGGATAAACTGCAGACCCGTCACAACCCTCTAGTGCATAAATGTTTGGAATTAGGATGGATGGATACGTAACGATGCACATTCAGCTATTTTAAAGCCCATTAACTTTGAGTATGCCTTCAGTTGTACCTTTCGGGTGATTCCACTGCATCAGTACCATTTGCATGTTACAAATCTTCAAAACTAAATTTCATTTAAAACCATCTTCCACTTAAAAACCTTATAAAACTAATTAAAAAGTTACCTCAAACTGACCAGTCCACATTTCGAATAGTTAAATATACAGCCAAGTAAAAAATGAAGAAACCACAGCACAATTTTTCGTTTCACTCATTTCTCAATTTATGGGTGTGCATCTGTGAATAATCGCGGCATGTGGCCCAAGCAACTGTTTAAATATAATTTGAAAATCATATCAACTAGTTCTTTTGTGTTCCCCTCAATAAAGTGTGTATTTGAAAGAAATTATTGGTTACATGTTCAAAAAAATGTATTTGTGGTTCAAAAAATCACTATGTATGCATGCTAGTTGTACTTTTTTCCATAAGTAACAGGACAGAAAGTAACAGAACTGAGTTTTAATCTAAAATAAGCAAATTCATGAATCATAGCCACAAATCATCAAAGCGAAGTGTGATAACGGAGTACATTCAAGTAACTTAGCAAACGTTTTTTTTTAATAAATAAATGAAATCTATTAAATCATTTGGGTGACAGGACTGAACGTTGAGTTCACAAGCCTCAGACATACTTAAAATGTCATCAGAAACGCAGGAAAGAAAGTGAGAGAGCATACTTTTGGTTTTCCTGTGGTCTTCAGGCAACTGAGATGGCGCAGGGTCCAGTTCAACATACCACTTACGGAATGTGCCAGATATTTTAGGGGCAGAAATGTGTTTGGGGTAACAGGACTGAGTGGAAAAAAATACACATTTTAGTTTGTCCAAGTTAAGTAGCATGTTATTGATTTGCTATAAGGAAAATGTATTTAAAACATACATGGGAAATATTGTCACACGACTATACAAAAAAGATTTCTGAAGGTTTTTAATCATTATATTTCATGGTGAAGTGTAGCATTAGTGAGCAGTGATCAGTGACAAGCTTTTTTTTTTTTTACAGTGTTTTAGATAGTTTTCATTAATGTTTTGCATTATGCATGTTAATTTAGCAATGAGGACATTGTGGAGGACACTTTGCCTGGTAACATGTATTATAAAACTAGTTTTCATGCATATTTATTCATATAATGTCCTGGGGGCGCAAATGGCACTGATTGGGTGAAATGGCCCCTTTTACTTTCCAGAAATCAGATAAGGAACCTTTCATGATCGGTCACTGTTTGTTTTGTAGACAAATCCGCGTGGCGTCTGGTTTCAGCCGGTTTTGTCCTCGTCGTTGAAAATGGAGCTGAGTTGAATCCACCGGCTTTGCAGGAGGCTAATTATTGTCTGGCAGCACTCAACGGGCAGCAAAATGCAGGTCCAGAGGAGAGTCGGGCCTGTTTACACAATGCTATCAGCTACTGGGCTGGCTCTGCCTTGGCAGAGGGTGCGGTGACTGTGTGCCAGTGTGACTTTGCAGTTGTTTGTGTGCACGTGTGTGGGGCGTGGCTTTGGTCTTGTGCTTTCCTGTCCATATACAAGAAGAATTTCATATAGAAAAGGTAAATATAAAGCGTAACTGTTCACATTCCCATTCCGCTTTCAAGAAATGCCTCAAGAAAAATCTGCTCCAGAAATACCTCTATCGGCCCATTCCACCCCATGTTTCCTGAATTCTCTCAGTGTTGCAATTTTTGCTGACTTGAATGCTTGTCTTATTAGGTTCCTGCTGCGTTTCAAAGTCGTTGTTTAGCTCCTGCTCCAGTACTGATTACACTTAACTGGACATTCAAGAAATGCTTCATGGCTGCCCGATTGATGGCTGACCCTGTACTTACAGCTGTATCTGAGTGTGTATGTCTCAAAGGAGAGCAAAACAGGATATACGAAAACTGAACAATTCCTACATACCTGTGCTTGTATTTGGCAAATAAAACATTTAATTTAATTTTCTTTTTCATTTCATTGGAAGTTCAGCCTAGCTGCATTTCTGCCTTTCTGAACAGCGTGTATGTTTGTATTGTGCTGTTTGTCTCAGTTGTGCATTGCTTTGGACAGAAGCATCTGTGAAATAAAAATAAATGTAAATGTATCTGTTATGCTTGACAGGGTTAGTATTGCATTGCAGACTGCATCGTTAACCTGACCTTGTGGCAAAACCTGAGCACGTTGATGATACACTCAAGTCACTCATGAGAAATTTGATGCCTGCAGGGTTCTGTCTATCAGAAGACCAACGCCTTGTCTGAGATCAAAAGGACCAACAAGGACAATTTCTGGGCACAGGCTGAGGTAAGAGTGCATTATCAACGATAGTTTAACAGCTCGCTTGCAGGCGTGTAATGATTATGCATGCATGTTGTACATGAAGCACTTTTCCAGATATAACACGTGTGCGTGTGTGGCGGGGGGGGTGGGGGTGGATGCCAGAGACTGTGCCTACAAATAGCATGAGGCAATCAAGTCACCTTTTGCTGTGAGTCAAAGAAGAGGCATCCACCATCTGCTCTTCAGAGAGACGAGGAGTCCCGGCGCCAGGAGGAGCGCAGGAAGGCACTGGAGGAGCGCCAAAGGCTGGAGCGTGAGCGCAAGGAGAGGGAGGCCCAAGAGGCTGCCCAGAGGGAGCAGAATTACAAGGAGAGGGCCCAGCAGATCGACCAGAAGAAGTGAGTCGGCGCCGGTCCAGAGAGGCCCTCGTGCTACCAGTGTGCATGACTGCTTGCATGTTTTCTACCTCTTATAAATGTAATTAGGTAATTAATTACTTCATTTTTGTCGTAATTTTGGTGAAATGTACAGCATGGCATGGTGGCTTACTGGGTAGCTCCGTCTGAGCTGGGAGCTCGATTCCCACCACTGCTCCGAGCGTGTGGAGGTCGTACGTTCTTCACGGCTTACACAGGTTTCCTCTAGGTACTCTTGTTTTCTGCCGGAGTCCAGTGACGTGCTGATGATAAATCACACTAATAAAACAATTGCTACTGCTTCCAAGATGTTGAATAAGAGACGTAGTGTAGAATAATTCTGGGATGTAACTGCGTGCCTCTTATTTCTGCCTCTTTGTATCTGTGGGATGTAAGGAATTCTACTTAAAGGATGTAATCTCAGGAGGGCACCACTGTTGTTCGTTAAATGCAGCAGACTTAAAAGCAAAACTAAAGCTGGATAGGGCATGGAACTGTGGAAAAGAAGCAAGCAATTGGAAAGAAGAGAAGTGGACCTGTCTGTGGCTTGGCGTGTTAGAATGTTGTACCCATGATCGGTCGGCCTCTGGTTCTGGTTCTGTGGTCAGCAGGGTGAATTTGCTCCAGGGACTTGCTGACCTTGCTCCTTCAAAAATGTGCTTTGCTTTGGATAAATGTCCGCTTAATAGGTTCAGTGTTTTTTGAGAAGTTGCCCGGAGAGAGCCGAGCTCATCCTTCCCTCTGGTTCTGCCAGGAGGTTCCAGCATCAGCAGGAAGCCGAAGGCCGAGAGAAGGAGAGACAGCGATGGGTGAGTGGCTGGCCGTGCCAGCACCCCTTTGTGGTTCTCCGTCTGCACCTACGTTTATGGAGAATGTGATGGGCGAGTCTCTGGTGGGGCTGTCCAGACCTCTGAAGAGCCGGACGTTGCCAAACAGCATCTGTTAATCGTCATACTGGGCACCCCTTGGACACATCCAGGCACGTGCATCCCTCGCACGTGTGCGTCCTGTAGGCGCCGTTGTTGACCCGCAGCGATGCTTTTAGGAGCAGCAGGAGGCGGAGCATGCGGCTGTACAGGAGAAGGTGCTGCGGCGCGGCCAGTCGGTGGAGACGGCCCATGTGAGTCTCCTCGCTATGGCCAGCGCTCTGCTTTAGTACCTCCACGCTTCCTCTTCTCTCATTTGTCGTCTATCTGTCTTTGGAGTAGAAGAACGTTTCTTTCACTCAAGTCGGTTGCCTTGCCTCCTCTTCTCTGCAATGTCTGGACCACCTTCACTTCAACTGTGTAGGGTCTACAGCTGCTTTTGATTCCTCTTTTAAACGTGCTCCTACAAACAGTTTGGTATCTACAACTATTCTAGCTTCCTTCTACGCTGTCGGGGTCCGGACCCACCCTGGCCTCCGCTGTCAGGGTCTGGACCCACCCTGGCCTCCGCTGTCAGGGTCCGGACCCACCCTGACCTCCGTTGTTGGGGTCTGGAGCCACTCTGGCCTTCCCTGTCGGACCTGCTTTCTCCACCCTCCTTTAAGTTGACAGTCTCCATTTTCTCATCTTCTGCTGATGTTCACACATCCTCCCCCGTAGCAGCTTTGGCTTCAGTTGTATCGACCAGAGACTCCATCTGAATTCTTTCCCTCTGGTCCTTTTCTTCACTGTATGTTTTATACACTGCTAGCTCCTCTTCTCCAAAACTGTCTGCTCTTTCCTCGCCTTGGCCCTGCTCTGCACAGTGGCTAGTTTCTCTCTTAAATCCCTCTTATCCCTGTGGCATTAACCTTTGGCAAAGTCCTCACTGTGACACTTAAACTCCCGTTGGCCTTGTGCAGGTCTTGAATGGCTGTTTCTTACAGGAAGCAGCCTCTGTCATCTCCCAGCGTGCAGTGAACCCCAGGGAGGTGTTCAGGCAGAAGGAGAGGGGCATGACCCCCGGTGAGAGAGAGTCATCTAGCAGCCCGCAGCCAGGTGAGGAACAACCTAAGTTCTCAATTGGAATGTTTGGTGCTTAGCTGGACAATGACCATGTTTCTGTAATTTGGTGAAAGGGACGAGAAGGGCAGCCTCAGACCCTTGATATTGTGTGATAACGCAAAGTATTTTTGTCTTTTTCAAACTTTGCAGACATACTGTTGATCAGCACCAGATTTTTGCCCAAAAATTTAACACAAATTGCACCAAAAATGAATGAATGCTACTTAGTGGCAGTGAAGGAAGGAAAGTACAGCTGAAGAAACCCCTTAATTTTGTGAACAGTATATATATCAAATACTTTTATTGTTATTGTATATTATGTTGTAGTGGTGATGTGGAGCATATTTCATTTGCTCTCAAATTGGAGCTCTGACACACAATGGGGGCACACAGCCACAGACGCACGTCTGGTGAACCTGCTTACACTGAGACACGTCATGCAGATGGGCCATGTCTGGGAAATACATTGCTGTCATTCCGACAGCATCTGGCTATAGCCGCCACTGTACTTTACACCCTCACTGCTTATTTATTTGGGAGGAAACCCTTCTGCTGGGGGTTCTTTGAAATGCTGCTGCATAACAGGAAATGTTTCCCATGGGGATAAATATTCTTTATTTGGGAGGGGGGGTGTCAGATATACATTACCTTGTGGAGACCAAAAGTCCCCACAATGTGATAAAAAAACATTTTTGCGCTCCTCAGAAGGGGACACTCAATCTTATAAAAACTTGTTACTGCAGTCAAAAAAGACTCTATTTTGATTTGGTTACTTACGGTTAAGGTTAGGGCTGGGTAGTGGGTTGAGGTCGTCATTGTTGGGATTAGGGTAAGGCCATAGCAATGAATGGAGAGTCCCCACAATGATAAGCATACCAACATGTGTGCGTGTGAGTGTGTGTCCCCGTATCTGCTGTACAGTATCTCTGTACCTCTTTACATTTGTCTCTGTCATTTGCTCTCCTTCTCTAAATAACCCCCATCCCCCCCCCCTCCCCCACCACCACCTGGGCATCTCAGGCCGGGTGCAGAGCCCCTTCCTGTCCAGGCAGTTTTCTGACCCAGAGCCCCCCTCTTCACCCCTCAGCCAGATGTCTCCTTCCCCTGTCCGTTCAGCCTCCCCCGCTTACTCTGCAGGTCTGTAAACCGAGCCACACGCTCACACACACCTATTTGAGGGTCTCCTTATACAGGCAGGACCCGTTTGGCCTTCATTTCCTCTGCAGAGGAGCAGGGCCGGGGCTGTCTGCCTGGGTTTGAGCTCTGCCGCTTTAATTACCCTTCTTGCTCAGTGCAAAACTTTCCTATGTTGTGCCGGTCCCTTGTAACGGAGTCGGTGTCGCTGCCGCCGCGCTGACAAAATACTTCCTGAAATTGTGGAAGTCGCTTTATCTGGGCCGTCGTCGTGTGGCTTTCAAGAGCAGAACTGGTGCTCGCTTCCATGAAGGCCACCCATCGGGGTGAAGCCTGCGGAGGGGCTCTTCATGTCTCTGTGTTTGGGTCTGCCAGAGGAGCGCCGTGCCCCCCCTGAGGAATGCTCCAACCAGGCAGCCACTCCCGCGCAGCAGCCGTGCAACGACGTTGCCGGAAAGGAGATGCTCTATGAGGAGTCTTCTCTGGTAGGTTATCGTCACTGCCCAGCTAATGTATGTCAGCCCCTGTAGTATATCTGCGTTTCTTTAATTAGGGTACTTATGTGTATGTGTGTATGAGGCATGAAGACCTTTCATATTTATGCTGAGTGAAGTTACACCACACAGGTGTGAGTGTTTGCGCGTGCCTGTGATATATATATATATACACACACACACATACACACACACACACACACAATATATAGTGTGTGTGTATGTATATACAGTATGTGTGTGTATATTTGTGTGTCTGAGAGCAGTGATAGGCTACAGCCCACGGTTTACTAGTCAATCACTGAGCCCCCATCCGTTTCCCAGGTGGACGTGCAGAACTCGTACGCTTACGAGGCCGACGAGGGGGGCAACCGGGGAATCTGTGCCAGGGCTCTCTATGACTACCAGGCTGGTGAGAGAATCTGCCCTGACATGCTTTATCGGAAAGCCGCTGTGGTCTTTGCAGGAGCAGCCGCTGACATAACCAGGCCGTGCTGATGAACTTGCTGAGCCAACTGGAGCCCAGTCTAACCACTGCATATTAATATATTATAATGTCCTTTTCTCCAGGGTTTGAGAGTTGTGCCCTGGCTTTGAACTTGGTCCTGACCCACTGTAACGCAGTAATTTACAGTAGTTTAAATCTTGGGATTTAAACCTAAAACCATTTGGGTACAACTTGAGCTAATGGATAGACTATCCCTGAAAATCTTTTGGGAAGGTTGTAAATGGCTTCAAGTAGGGATGGCCAATTAATGAAATTTTAATTTCAATTATGATTTTGGCTTCCAATGATTATTGAAACAAAACGACTGAGAACATAAATATTGTGCCTCAATTTCATTTTGCAGTGATGTTCCCTTTTTCTTTTGTGTTATAGATCAACATCTTTTTATGGGTTTCTCAGTCGAATTATATTTAGAGTTCAAGGAAATCCAGACAAGCTTTTTTTTTTTTTTTTTTTTAAGAAGTTCCATAAATAGATGGTGGATATTTCCCTTGGGTGAATTTCAATATGCGTACTTGACCATACTTGTGTTCTCATGTACCCGTTTTATATCATCTTCCATTGCCAATGACCAGTTACAATACTAAGAACGGAAATTGCAGAGGACTTTAAAAATCCCCGAATGCTGGTCCTGCTCTGCCCCAAATATCAAGGATACATCGGTTGCATCCTCGCCACACGAGACCAATCCCATGATTCATTGCGCCCCAAGTTTGTTCTTGGAAGGCAAATTGGTGGGACCGGGCTGGTCAACACCAGGTGTACGGTCTTTTCGTTCTTGGTATTGAGATTCACCCATAATGAAGCGGGGGCAGGGGTGGCTGGATTACATAGCTAGTTGACAGCCTCTGCGTAACTCGCAACATATTGTCATTCCTCCTGCCTGACCGTTGCTTTCTGTTTCCCATCCACAGCCGACGACACAGAGATCTCCTTCGATCCTGATGAAATCATCACAGGCATAGAGATGATCGACGAAGGCTGGTGGCGGGGGTACGGCCCTGAGGGGCGTTTTGGGATGTTTCCCGCCAATTACGTAGAGCTGCTGTAAAAACCCTAGCCCCAGCATTCTCAATGGATTCGTAAGCTTCAGGTGGGCTATGCCCCCCAGTGGTCCTGACTGGAACTTCAGCTAGCTAAATGGTGGTAATAATAATCAAGAGGGCCTTTATATTTGATTTCTTCTCCATTCCAAAAGGTCTGTAAAGTACTAGATAATACAGGCCGAAAGTATGACAGTGGTTCCTTTAATGTTTTGGGTTTTTCTTTATAATTATCGTAAAAACTGATTAAATGTCTACATTTAAAAGCTGCTACGGAGGCTGAGTGATTGGGCGCAGTTTGAAATCTTGTGGAAATTTCCAGCCCGGGTCTTCGGTGAATCATATCGTGCTTGTCGTGTCCCATAGTGGTGACCCTTCTTTTTGCCCTGCTCGTCCTTTCGTAAGCCTTGCTCCTCCCTGAAAGTCATAACCACAAACGTGACTTAATGTTATTCGAGGTTTTGAGAGATTTAGATGGCAGAGAGGGCAGGATGGACTCTGTGTCCCTTACACTACAGTACAGGAGGCACTTGTTCAGCTATTTGCTTTATCCCTTTGAAATCCCTGTATTTATTTATGAATGTATTTTTCTTAGAGTAAACCTGACTTTGCTTGGTATGACTTTTTTTTTTTTTTTCCCCTCATATCCACCACCTGAATGTTTTCTACGCTGCAGCTTGTTTTCTTTATACTGGGTATCGAATGTGGTTTGTCTCCAGTTTGTGAACAGTGTGACGCGTGAAAAGTGCAAAGCCAGAATATGAAAGGCTGGAGCTGAATCGAGCAGATCAGGATTGCCCTTCTTCGAAACAACCTGTCAGGAATAAAACCAGCACCCAGCAAATATAAGAATTCTCATTTTAATGCAGATTTTTCTAACGCCATCGAGGGGACAGATATAGCGAGGGGTGGGACTTGGAGAGTTTACTCGTCCCTTAAATTTCTCATACTAAATGTACTGCTGGTGTAACTGTGCACCTTTTCCCTTAAGAACAAAATGTGAAGCCTATAAGAAAATATTTTGGATAAATGAACGTTTTGTTAATCATATCAGCCAGTGCTCTTGCAACTGATCACAATAATCAAGGCAAACATGCATTTTTTTTTTTTTTTTACATATAGTTCAAAGTAATTTACTTGATAATATTGCCATATAGAAGAACAGATGGAAGGTGCTTGTGTGGATTCACCTTCTGCTAGTGAAGCTATTGATATGCTTTATGGGGTCTTAACTGTGTTCCTCAGACAGGTTTCTTCATCACTGCCTTCCTGTTGAGATTTTTAAAAAAATCACTTAAGGACCAAGTGGTCTGCTGATCGCATTAAAATGCCAAAGGAACAGGGGTGGAGTGAAGAGATGTTTTCAGGGTGCTTTCACTTTATAATTTAATATATATTAATCTGCACCAGCTCCTTTTTCTAATAGCGTTGTCTTTACCTCCCCATTCTTTTAACTTGAATATGTTGTAACAAGTTAATGGGAACAAATTTGCTTGTACTTGAATAAATGATGGTGAAACTGAAAATGGATTCTGAATTTCAGTTGGCATGACCTCACTCATCTTCATTTCGAATTATTACATTCTTGTGCACACGGCCAGGCATGCGCAATAGGATGCCGATGTATAGCATTCCGGCTCTTATATCCCGTGAAATTCCAGGCGCTCCAGGTTTTGCTTTTCTGCAAGTGTAGTGCCTTGGTTCGGACACAAGGGGGCAATGTGTCCTATTTATAAATACCCCCTCCAGCACTTGTGAAACAATAAACATTAATAGCTCGGTTTGTGCGATATTGCATATAGCAACGTGTCAAAACACCTACATTGAGTGCAGTTTCTTCTGTTTAGAACATTTGTAACTGCGATTAGTTACTTTACCTTGCCTTCAAATGCAAGTATTTTTGTTCTGGATTTGTATTTTTCAGTACGCAGAATGAGTGGGGCTTGGATTAGACGAGAAGGACACCCAGCAAACTGTACTTTAGCTTTTGATAGTATGGTTTTATTTTTACTGGCTGCCAAGGGGAACCCAACTGAAAAATCTCGATGCAAAGGATGAGACGCAATTAAAGTATTTTCACTAGGCTCTCTAAATACGGGCTTTGTTGCGTGAAACGGCACTTAGGTTACTTCACATCCCGTCGTCAGTGTTCCACACTCGGCTTCAATTTATTCATTTATTTTGAAAAATATTGAGGTCGTCTTGGAAATTTAAAGGAAACAGTGCGCCATCTCCGCTTTTCTGAAATACTGAGAATACACGCTGGGGGACTTCGACAGACAGCGGTTTTTTCGGACGTTGCTTACAGTTAAGAGTATCGCTTTTAGTCTCAAACATGTCCTTAAACCTCATGTTTTATACGTGCTCAATAAGCAGAACATTTCCTGGAATAACAACGTCAATGCGATAACAGCAGTCTGGGGATTTTTGTTTTGTTCACCTAGGTTTCAGTTTCGAAAGAAAAGTGAGATTATTCATGTCTCCCCCTTCATGAAAAAAAAAAATACACGTTTTAAGTCTTTTTTTTATGCAGGTTGTCCGTAATTATTCTGCTCGCTGTTACCATGTAAACTTAAAGTGAGACTCGCTGCCAGTTGTAACGTGTTTTGCACAAGTACAGGAATGGGGACGTTTATGTATTCAGTTGAATTCTGGAAAAGTAAAGAATGTTGCACAGACCTATTGCAACATCCCCTCTTTATGTAACTGGTGAATGTGGTTCTCTTTTAGGCCAATTTATTGAGAATATCAACATTCTTTTGAAAGGAGAACCAAGAAATACTTGCTGGAAAATATTGCCATTTCACTTCTGCAAAAAATGGTTTTGGAACTGCGTGGTTGACCTCCTCATTACACATATTGCAGTGGCTGCATTTTAACTAAATCAGCTGAAGTCGCACAATATCACAAGACCCCAGATGGTGGAGACAAGAATAGCTGTGTGCTACAGATGAGCAAAATTCCCAATATTTCCTGGAATAGTGCAAGTTAAAAGAAGACTGGAAAGCAGTCAGTGGTGTTGATGGACAGTATCGCTGACATCTGTCCATTTTCACTATATGTGAGCAATTATTTTAGGTTTACCTAACAACTGTCGCAGCTCAAACTGAATGCAGCCAACCCCTTCCTAAGAGTGGCCTTCAAACTCCTACAACTTCTTGCAGTTCCTGCTCTTCATGGCCCAAATTGTAAAAGCCTTGTGCTAGTCGTCCTTCAGCAGTTTGACTAATACAGGTTCAATCACTCCATTGCTCTGGGTTTGTCACAATTGCCAGTAAAGCGAGTCTGACCAGTAAGACCTGCAGCTCATGACTGCGAGGAACAGCGAGGAGGGTGTTGAGCAGTGGCAAGTGGGGGTCACCCGCTGTACCGTGGAAGAGGGCTTCCTGCATGTCATGGAAATTATGTACACTGTCACCAGAGAGCATACAAAGGAAAATGTGGTCCCTTTCCTGGTAAGTGAAGAGGTCATGAAATGAGTCAAACTGTAAATCAGATCATCTATCATTGTTTTTATCAGTATATATTTTTTTTCTGATTTCCCCTTTGATCTGTATTTTGATCACAAGATCTTTTGAAGGTAAAAATGAGAAGTGACTGGAATGTGAATGGAGGAGGACAGATTTGGGTGGAGAGCGAGGAGATGTTACACAGCAGTGGCATGTTTCACTCTAATGACTGGAAAACACCAGTGAGTGCAGAACGCGTGAATGAAGAGCAGTGAGAAACATGGCCAGGTGCTAATCGAGTGTGGATCATCTCCCAGGCCTCTGACTCAAAACCAGAAACGACGGTTTGCCTGGAATGACAAACCAGATTCATTTCTGGTTAACCATTTCATGTCTGCAGGCTGCTGACCTCAGCACGAGCTTGAAATGAATAGCTGGGAATTTTCTCTGCTTTTAACTCCTCTCTGCTGCTTGTCCCTTCACAGTGCTCTTAGCTTCTACCTTGGTTGTGACTCATTGTCATTCTCGCATTCAGCCCTGGCTGATAGCCTAACACTTCACCCTGCTTATGTTCACAATCCAGAATAGTCCCAGTGATTCAGTCTGTATTATTATTTCCATTCTTCTTTCCATTATCAGTCTTTCATAACGCTTTACTGACAGCTTCATGTGATCGAAATGTTAATGTTTGGTGCTTTTATTTTAAGATATTTTTCTACTATGATCTCAATGTTTTTATATTATACCTCTTCCTTTTCAGCTTAGGAGCGGCACGGTGGTGCTGTAGTTAGTACTGCTGCCTTGTGTCTCTCGGACCAGGGTTCGAGTTACATGACTTCATGTGTTTTTTTTCCAGTTTCCTCCAGGTACTCTAGTCCCCCCCCCCCAAATCCAAAAGGTTAATTGGAGTTACCAAATTGACCACAGGTGTGAATGGTGGGTGAGTGTGCTCTGTGGTCGGTTGGTGCCCCATCCGGGATTGTTCCCTGCTTTGTGCCTGTTGAATCCGGACCCCCCGCCACCATGAATTGGATAGGCGATTTAAAAAAAAAAAAAAATGGATGAATGAGTTTTCTATTTATTTAGGGGTTGGCAAAATTTTATAATTCTGTAATGTGATTTTATGCAGCTCTCTCAATTTAAAGGCCATTTTCTGCTGATTTATGTAATAACTATAGGTAGTGAAGATGTGACTTCTTTGAGTAACAGGAATATACAGACTAATACCAGTACTCCACATCTCCTCTGCCCACTCACATATATTATGAAATAATATTGAATCTAGTCACTCTAACGTATGAATAGCTTTTTGTTTGAGAAGAAATCAATCAAGTAAGGTAATATTTTTAGTTTTTTTTTAGTAATCTAATCTTACAATTTCTTCCCTTTTAAAGGTGTGTTTATATGCAGTATATTTATATGGCTTTCGTAAGATCTAGTAATTATATCTTCTGGATTTGTGTACTCATTCATTAATTGTTCCTTCAGCCATTCCTTATTGGTTCTTTCAGTTGTTCACAAAGGTTTACAGCATTAACAGATATAGTAACCAGTATAGTAACTGCTTGAGCTAAAACATGGATCATGATTCATTAATGATGAATTTGCATGAGATCAATATGTAACTAAGACTTAGTTACGTATTAATTAACCACAAACTAATAGTATAATACTATATTATTTGTGCCCAATCATATAGTGTTATCAAAAAAAAAATTCCACAGAAAAGATCCCACTATCAATATTTAATAAGAATGTTTTATTTTGTCCTGCAATTCAAAATGTTTGCACTACATCTACAGCCTTATTGGCCCAGTGCAGAGTACTGGAAGAGACGCTAGGCAGATTCACAAGGATTGGTCTTCAATTGGTTTTGTGGGAAAATATCATGCTCAGACCTGTGGGTGCAGGTTTCATTTCCACAGCACAAATCATCCCTTATGGGAGCTGGAGCTGCAGTGTTCTCCAAAGTCAAATTCTCTGTCATGAGTGTGATCAGGGGAAAAGGCAGAATCATTCTTTTTTTGGTTATAAAAGGGTGTTTCACCGAGATGATTGAATCATTTTAAAGAAAGCATATCTTCTGGGTGTATTCCTTAAGAACCATATCCACTTTATCATGAGTGTGATCAGGAGAAAACACAGAATCTTTTTTTTTCCATTTAAAATGGTGTTTCATCAAGATGATCAAATCTTCTTAATGAAAGTGTATTTTCTGGGCACATAACATTGTTTTATGGACCTGATTGTTTCTCTCTGATGTTTCAAGGAAGCAAAATGTAAGAGAGTGGAGATAGTGAAAAGATAGAAAGTGATAACCGAATCATTTTGTTGAAGATGACTTCAAAAGGAACAGCTTGAAATTTCTTGCCGTACACCACGCAAAGCCAAATATGAAATCATTAATTAAATATATGTTCAATAAATCACTTATTTTATTAGATATGTTGATTGCTTGATTCAATTTTCTTAAAGGTTTCCAAAAGTGCAAGCAGAGGCCGTAATTTCTGTTATATTGCATTTTGGTGTGGTGTGTGGAATCTTTTGACTAACCGCAAAGATACATATTGACTCATTCGGATGATGTGCTGGCTGGAGGTGAGATGTTTCATTTATGAAAGGCAGCACAAACTGCCTGCAGCATACACATGCGTGAAAAGAGTGCGAATGTGTTTATTATTTGGAAATAAATTCAAGGCTTATTTGATGGTCAAATTAAACTCCTTCTTGAAGGAGTTTATTAGATGTGGGTTTTTACAGTATGTGTTATACTCAGGCTATTTTGGAGGCTTATCAATGGACACATAGACGACTGTCAGATGGTAGAATTATTCCAAATTAAAGATGATGCTCAACAACATCTGGATATTATTCTTGGGGAAAATACAGGGTTTTTAGTGACTATTTCCACCTTGTCCTTAAAAGCCAAAATTTGGTATGTACCCAATAAAGCTCTTTAGGGTAGCACGGATTTTCAGTGGTGAGCTATGCCCTCATGTGTCTGGGGTTGCTGGTTCGACTCCTGCCCTCCGTTCTGTGTCGCTGTGGAATTTGTGTATTAACCCCTATTAGTGCAG